TTTTAGTGTACTGTTTTTTTGAGAATATTTTGTTTTTGGTGTATTTTGTTTTGTTTTTAGTGCATTTTGTTTTGTTTTTAGTGTATTTTTAAAATAATCTATTATATTTTCTAGGTTAGTTGAAATTTTTAACTCCTGTGGAATATGTACTCGAACAACAAGACCAAAGACATATAATTTATTTATAAATTTGCACCTACTATCGACTAATCTGCTACTAAGAATCTATAATAAAAGCAAAGAATCAATAATTACGTATCGATCAGCTTTATTTCATATCAAGATATAAGATCAAACTCCGGTTTTGTTTGAATTTCCTTGACATGATCCTACAATACCAAACAGCTATTAACCACTCGGTAAGTAAAAATGTATTTATAACTACGATTCATTTTACACTAAACTCACAGTAGGATTTTCAAATTGCTATAGGTATCATTATATTTCTAAAAGCCTATATTATACCTGAAAATACTCAACAGAGTAAAATAAATTTAAGTCTTTCTGTCAAGCAATAGACCATTTACTGAAACAATAATGTAAAACTAATCGGTCTCACTTAGTAAGATTTTTTTCATTATCCGCGTTAATGAATCATACAACAAAAGAAGGGTGATTATTACACGTCGTGAAAATTTCAAAAGACTACAAATTAGGTATGTAACCTTGAATATTTTTCTGTATATATACCCAGAAACAAGAGTTTAAAAGTATCCCTGCAAACTGTGTGGTTAAGTAACATCGTCTAAATACATCACTAATTTTTGTTTTGCTCATTTGGTGATGAATTAACTCTTTTTTCTACTACTTTATTTTAATCTTTGCGAAGCGTTCGTGGGGAAGATCCATTTCAAATTAGAATAGCAATAATACTGTAACGCAACTTTTACTGACTTTTTTAGCAGGCGTTCGTGTAGTAAACGCCGACATCTTTTATTTTATTAAAGGAATCTATAAATAAAATATAAATAACATAAAGAATCATCATTGGTTTATTAAAACATTATAGATATCTAAAACATTGGAATCGTAACAAGTAAAAAAAAATAAAATATTAATTGAATGACGTTAAAAAAATGTAAATGAAAAGTAAATTTAAAACATCACTTGAAAATGACAACTGTTAAAAGTTTAAAAACAATAAAAATTAAACGCTATTTTCAATAACGAGAGCTTGTTCGTCTACTTTTCCATTATTGTTTACTATAGTTTTAGAGGCACCCGCGTAGTTTTTCTTGCCGTTTACATTGCTGGAGACTGTGAAGGAAGATGACGAGGAACCGACGAAATGTTGATTTGGACCAGGCTTGATATTCTTCAGGTTGTCATTGTTAAATGATGAAATCTGTAATAAAAAACAAAGCATTCAAACAAAACAAAATAATTGCGTATTCAACCTAGTTTCAAAATTGATATGAGGATTTCCTTAAGTCCTGTGATATGTTGATCAAATACAAAGTAAAAGCTTGTCTAGAATAACATTGGGACCATAGAAACAATAGATGTAGGTATTACGTCATTTTACGGCAGTTTTTTTTTCAGTAAATATATTGCTTACGTGAATTTCCGGGAAAAATAATGGCATTGGCGGCACAACAGGCACCTGTGAAATATATTTATGTATTTAAGAAATAGTAAATAATAAAATCAAGTTTCATTACATAAAAATACTGACAAATTAAGTCGCATTTCAACGGGTTATTAACAAAACATAATATGACTGTTATTATTCAATTTTACATACCTAATTGTTCTAGAAATATAAAAACATACACTATATGAAATTGTATATTAAAAAAAATAGAAGATAACATTGATGTTTGATCTGAATTTATTAATGACTAGCTGTTGCTCCCGACTTGGTCCGCGTGAAATTAAAAATAATTAAAAAACCTATGTTACTCACAGATAAATGACCTAATCTTACGGTGAAAGAATTTTTTTCGGCCCAGTAGTTTTTGAGTTATTCCAATATACAATAATACAAATCTTTCCTGGTTTTAATATTAGTATAGATCGACAACGTTAACTTATGAACATACAAAATGTTCTTAAATAGATCGAAGATGTTTGGAATTTATCGCAATTAAACAAATATGTTTTACAGATTTGATATTTTAAAGAGGAATACAATACTTAGGGCCTGTCCCACCACTGGCTGATAAAAACTGTCAGATAAGGTGACAATATCCGATATTTCCGTCATATATTTTACACGTTTCATTGTTATCAGACAATTCAGTTCAGTTCAGTTTCTTGTCTATGGCACTCCCTTAGCGGATTGGGCCAGATCAGATAATTTACATTTTGGTGGGACAGGCAGGCAGGACAGTTTTGAAATTGAGACGTTACAAATAAATACCTCAGTAATTGTAATTTTTGTGTACTGAAATGAAAAGTTAAAAAAGGTAATTAAGACATGCCACCAAGAGCGAGAATATAAACCAATTAAAAAAAAGGTATTAATAATATGATAGTGTAAAAATAGATTTAGTTTTATGGATTTCAATTTAATGCTTTGTAAGAAATCACAGTTATTTCTCCCTTAATATGAAATGAAATATATGAAGAAGAAATTATTTTATTATTCCGTGAATGTAGTATTTTTAGAAAGAAAATTTATTACAATGTAAAAAGAATTTCTATGAACTTTGTATGTTAATGGTTTTTATATTTGATTTCTTTAGGAGAGACACATTTTTTTCTTTATTTCGATTCATTATTCAGATGCAGTAAAACTATCATACCTCGCTTTCTGGTATATCAGGTAGCTACAAGTTTTTGAATATTAATTATTAAATTCTCTATAGTTACTCATGTTTTATTACCAATGTAATTAATTCTACCTGCGAGAAATCAATCGAAGGCAACTGTGAAAGATAATTTTATCCTGAATCATTTCTTATATCAATTACATTTATTTACAATTTATTAACTTTATACCTGTACTCCTTTTATATTAATAATCTGTAATCAATTATTTCTTTATTACTATCTAATTCTTTACTTATTGTAATAGTTAAAATTCAATTTTCAATTACAATATTTACCCCAGGAATATTAATATCAGGTAACTGAAAATTTACAAATATCAATGTTGTTATTATGTCTTATCTTGGTTACGGAAAAAACTTATTTTTGTTTCGAATCTATCTATAATTTTTTAAAATAGACGCTAACCTTTGGTAAATCAATTCTCGGTAGCTGAAATAAATAGACAAATTACGTTTTTTTTTTTGTCCCGAATTAAAAAAATAACGTAGTCCTTTGTCCTATGTTCTACATCTGTGCCAAATTACATCGAAATCCAATCAGCAATTTAGGTGTCAAACTCTAACAAACATCCATCCAAACTTTTGCATTTATATTGGTAAGATGTAACCTGTATTTTTAAGTGTTTTTCAGTAGAAATCTTGTTTAATTATACATTTCTTTCGAATTATCTAGAAGGAATATTTATCTTTATTACCTTTGACAGATTTATCGGCGGGGTCTGTGAAATTGAAAATTTTGAAGTATTTCCCGTTGAAGTTAATAAAATAAGTTAAAGTGTCTTTCCTAACTAAAGTAAACAGTTTAATGATGAAATTATTAGAAATCATTATTTTAAATTTAATAGAATTATGCTACATTACCTTTCCCTTTGTTATTGTTATCTGTAGACGTTAATTAATTAAATTATGAAATATTATTTAAGAAAAAGAATTGTTATGATGATTTTGAGATCGACATTTTAATCCACTATACCTTTGGATTTTGAAACTGAAACAAAAAACAATAATTTAGGAATTTTCATCTTTATATACGAATGTTAAAATTAAAAATAAAAAATCAAAAGTTATAAGTTCGTCTTTGTATTCTATAAAATATATTTACCTGTTTTCATATAGTGATGTCTCTATTTCTTACGTTTTAGTATAATTATATTATTATTACGATTTATAACAATCATTATCGCCTAATTTATTTTAATCTTAAACGGTTATCCTCTAATCGTCTCTTACCGGTGGTACTCTGAAACAAATAAATATTTATAAATAGAAAGCAAAACAATCAATCTAATCGTAAGTTGTCACTTGAAATCGCTTAAATAATTTATGCTGGGTTTCTGAAGTTCACATTAATTTTATCACTACAAAAGGAGTAAAACTCAAGCCACGTAGTTCGGAAACGCATTTCATGAAATTATCGAACCAAAAACACTAACGAATGATTGGTAGCTGGGAAATCGGCCATAAAACCATTAACTTACATGTTGTTTTTAATCACCGGCGGGTTTTTTCCAACTGTAAATAGAAACAAAATAATACATAAAATTAACAATTAGAGCGTAAAAGCTTCTATAAGGCTGTAAACTAAGTTTATTTGTCTGTACCGAAAGTAAGGATGATTTGTTGAAAACACATAAAGTGAACAATAATTCTCTTTGTAGAAATCCCCCTGTACAACACGATTATCAACAGGGCAGAGCCCTAAGTCATAGAGATTTCTTCTGTAAATTATGTTGAGAATGTTCGCTTTATATGGGGTAATTTCCGCGTTATATGAGAATTCAGAATACGCGTTGTAGGGTTGATGTAATGAAAGCGGTACAAACCTTTGTACTCCTTAACTTCACCGTTGTCGTTGGTCACTACAGTGGTACCACCAGTTTTGACGACGTTCCCATTCTCATCTGTAGTGTAACCACTAGACGACTGTACCACTATACCAGAATACGTTTCCCCAGGGTTAGGGTTTTTACCAATTATGTCGTCTGGGCTTGGTATCTTGATGGTGGGGAATGGTGGAATTACGGGGTGAAGTGGGAAAGGAAAGAATGGTTGGAAAGAGTTTACATGGACGTTATGGAAAGGTCTTTGAAACTGTAAATTGTATTACAATTAATTATAACAGCAATAAACCTTTTGATAAACAGAACACATGACTTTATTATTAATGATGTATTTAAGTTATGTAAACTTATCTTAACTTAATCTACAAAGACGAACTTTTGAAACCAATAAAATAAATGAAATAAGTTTACCTGAATTATTAAGGTTTATTAAAAATATTTCTTACTTATAAGGAAGCTTCCAAAAAGTATTTTGTTTACTGTTGTCTTACCTGATTAAAAGGGAACCTGAAATAAAAACTAACATTACGTACGCAAATTATGGTAAAAAACGAGTTAAATCCAATAAAAACTTCTAGAAACATTTTGCGAAAATTCTTCAAGGATACTTAAAAAAGATGAAACATAAAGTAAAAATTTGCTTCTTAAATTATATATGGTTTTTCCAAGTTTTTACAAATCACATCATTGTATCGAATCATACGTTTTTATAGTTATTATTTATTCTTACCCTGGAAACGGATTATCGTTATCACTTGAGTCAGCTGAAACCATAAAAATCACTCAATTAAAAAGCGTCAGCAAATGTTCAAATGATCTACTAAAAAAAACTGTGCATCCAAATTAATCTTGTGTTGGCAATGACGCCGAAAATTCGCCAAAAGCTTGGCTATAAATAATGAAAATCTTCTAAAGTAAGTACAAATCGGAGTGACATCAAGAACAACCTCTTTTTGTGCAAATTAAAAAAATAGCAAAGTTTTAAAAATTCAAATATATACCAACAAAGGAATCATTGATTTTACCATTGTAAAACATACATGCAAGTTGATAAACATATATTTACGCAGCTGTTCATTTATTGAGCATTCGTGTCTTTAAAATAAAAGTTGGTCTTACGTCATATTGCAATGGAATATTTTTGATTGTGAAATATTATAATGATAGTCTATTAAATAAACAATTTAGTCCGTAAATAATAGTACAGCCTGAAGAATATAAATTAAATAGCCTCTCCTTTTGACACATTAATATCAATCAATCCACAAAAGAAGCAGCACGAAAATTTGAGAAAAATACGTACAGAGAACAACAACAATTCAAATTAGTATAGACAGTATACCGACAAATCTCATACAAATATTCGTGCTACTCCATTCAAGAGACAACAAAACAGGAGCACGAGACGGTAGCAGTCCTTACAAAATTTCCCGTTCTAGATATAATTTAAGTATTATTAATATTTTATTTTATTCAAATATAAAATCTCACTTACCATTAACGCCAACCACTAACACTATTGTAGCAATTAGGGTGAAATACGCCATTTTTAGCGTCAATTATTCGATGTAGAAAATCGTTCGCAGTTATATCTTCGAGCGTAGTTTTCAAAGCACTGAAAATTCGTACAATAAATAACTCATTTAAGTATTATTCATAGACTGTTGTTTGAATATTACAAGCTGTGTAAATAAGTGAAACGAATGGTCGGTACGTTTTCTGGAAAAACTTATTGAAAAGAATAAATCCAATGAAAGGCGACTCAGAATGAAGTAACGCACTGAAAACAAAAACCATGAGGTTTTCTTGGAAACTCGAACAATATTGTGTGTTTTTATTATATTTTGAAACTTATTTTTTTCACAATAAAGTTTTATATCGTTCGTGCTTGCTAAAGTCTTGTGCACAGTACTAATCCGTTGATACTGAGCCGTGTTTGTGGCCGTAGCTAATGACATTCGTGACTCCAAAGCATAATAAAAACAATGAACATTAGTTCTATAGGTAATAATACTATTTTTACAACCAGTTCATTCTGTTTGTGTTAACCAAGATGATCTGTCTTATATGTCCTAGGCCTAATAGTCCAAGGATAGGTAAGGACTATGAAACAAAAGACGTAAGTTTAAACCCGTCACTATGTAAAATGTTAAGTAATATTTGTAATGTTAATTACGTTTACAGTGTACTCATAGTAATTGTGGGTATTAACAGTAACTATTGCAGAACAGTATATTAGTTCCATCAATGAAGTATAGAAAAAAAAATTACTTTACATTAATAAGAAATAATATATCGAAAGTTATTGTAAAATTATAGAATGAACCTCAAAGGTACGTAATAACCAAACATGCAAGAAAAAGCAAAACAGTATTTTGCTGTCTGAAAACACCTTATTGTGAAAATTAAAAAAAAAAGTACGTGTCGATTACAAAATTTACCTGTTCAATTTTAAGACATAAACAAAACACTAAAACAAAGAAACGCTGTTCACAAAACACGTGCACATTGTGACTAACCTTCCCGAATTTTCCACAAAGATGATATTTTCGTATTGCACTGATAAACAAAACAGGTCCTATATGACTTTCAAGATTGCATTTAATGTCGTTCGTTATTTGGTATGTAAAAAAAAATCTACATCTTACCACAGACATACTATTTATGTTTGCGTTTTTATTGTCGAAACGCATGTACATAGGATATTTTTGACAATTTTTTTGTTTCGCCAGTGGAAATCTACGATAGTAAGCCATTTACCATGATGTGGTTTATTGCATGATATAATAAGTAAACGGGCAACAATCTGTTTGTCTTTATAACTGCTTACTAATTTTCACTTAACCTTGTCCACAAAAGAGTTAAAACTGGAAATCTCTTCCTCTATGTAATGATATTAAATTGTGGTGTAGAGCAATTTTACTCAATTACGTACCTTGTTTACTCTCTATTCAAAGCGATTTGTGCATGTTGTGAAAGAATGCGTTAATTGTCTTATTGGATCCTGTTTGAGATGAAATCAACAACGTAGAGTCATCCGTAGTGCCGTGCCACACCAATATAGTTATTTTTTAAATCTCATATTGCAAGTACTAAAATTCATTAAAAATGTCTCTCAATATTTGTACATTATTATTAATATGACTTTATATATAGTATGTCTGCTTATATTTTTTAATGAGCGTCAAAATACACAGAAGGCATAAACATGAAATAAAATAGTAGCTACATTCCGGTAGTGTGGCACGACGCTAATAGAATCAAGGTGCAAAACAGCGATGTCCAAGGCGGATACTGTTTGGGGTCAATGGAGGTGATTCCTCCACACAATGCTTTCATTTCGTACAACACATGAAACAGGTTACAATGCACGCAATGCCTAAAAATGACTTCATCTCTTGCAAAATGGTGCATGATTTAAACCATTTTTAATAGATTTATGCAAAAAACTTTTTCAATTTTACAAGTACTATGTATATTATAATCAATATTAAATAGCTATAAAAGGATTGAACAGCATGTTTATTTCAAACTTTATAGTAAAAAAAACCTTATAAAATTCTGATGGATATTTCCCTAACAGACATGAATATGAATTAGTAAGTATCCTTTCAGATTATTTATAGCAAAACTAACTTTGTGCATTTACAAGGCGTTAGTGCGCTAGCAGAAAAATTGAGTGAATATTTCTTGTCATAGACGACGCAAGTATAAACAGGGATTGGATTGAAATTAATTATACTCTCTTCCTTGGAAGACAGACAGGATTGTCACAAATATAGTCTTGTGAGAGATTTAGAAAGAAGTTCAATATGTTATAGAGATGCCCTTAAGAAATTCCATTCCTCCTTCTATAAATCTTTGTCTCTTTCGATGTTATAATTAAAAGTAGATACTTTCTTAAAAACAAATATTACTAACTGTTGCTCATGACTTCGTCCACATAAAGTTTAAAAATTCAGACTATGTTAAGCAGCAATAAAGCTTTATAATGGCAAAACAGTTTTTGAAATCGGCCCAGTAGTTTATAGTTTTAGAGTTATTTACATACAAAAATCCAAAAATACGAATCTTTTCTCTTATTATTAGTATAGAAATATATATACTAGACCTTTTAGTTTACGTTGTACGATGTGAATTTGTTGTGACGTCACAAATGTGACGTATCTTCACATAGTCTGCATACAAATTATGAGACTTACGTGTAAATAGACATGTGATTGCAAATGACCTTGACCCAGAACGTGTGACCCCGCTTGGACCGGACAATAATGCGATCGGATTTTTTTTTTTACAAAATTGACTTAATCTGATTTTTATTTTATGCTATATTTCGTTATTGTGACATGGAGAAAGTTGAAGTGAATGTTTAAAAAATACCGACAGAAGTTACAATGTTAATAGATATAAATATTGGAGAATAGCAATATCGGTGTTAGGATGTAGCGCTATTGGGCTACCGCCCAGGGCACTAGACAGAAATGGGCGTCACAGATCTGAGACACAATCACATAAACCCACAAATCTAATAAAGAAGGGGGCGCCGTAAAAAAAGCTCGCCCACCGCTGCACCGCAGAGATTAGGATAAATGAAGCAATGAAAAAGAAGACACTGAACCAGCTGGAAATTACCTAAGCTCGTAAGATATAAATTATGAGATCGATATATTATGGATTCAAGATAATTCCAATAGTATTTGCTATATCAATTGAATTTATAGACGTGATATATCAGAAGTCACGCGATGTTTTGTTTATTAAGTAAATAAGAACAAATTTTTAAAATACACAGACAATATTTAAACAAAATATTTGTAAAACCCGATAGCTAATAGGGTTAGATTTTTGAAGGATATAAGATGTAGGTCATCCACATAGCAATGATAGACTTGATGCCAGGTTCACACTTGGCCATCAGCACACAATAAGTAGACTGGTATTCAACTGGGATGATGTAAACTCTAACTGACGCCCGTGTTTCCATACTATTGCTAACATATTGCCTGCGCTACTGTCCAACTGTAATGGCGAGGTGTAAACCGCGCATGATCTATGTTTTGGAACCGCTACGACTGAGGGTAGATAAGAACCAGTCTCTATGGTTTGCGGGAGGTCTGCGTTCAACTGCATTCATTATTATTATAATAATAAACCAGAGTACTTAGATTATGGTCTATAATTATGACTAAAAATGTCTGTAATGTCCTATTTCATTCGCCCCACTACCTGATATCATAGGACTTATATCTGAGTATTGTTTCTTTTATTTCATGATTTGTAACTTACTGACAGAGTATTGTGTGACCGTTTGGTTTAACCACAAATACTCTGTGAGTGCTCTGTCATTTGACAATGCTTAGTCATACTTAAAGTGGTCTGTAGACAGACTGACCTTTCTTGTCCATCTAGTTTTAAACAATAGCACGGTCGTTCACTTATTCATAACTGTGACGTCCAAGTGGATTATAAATAGTCTTCGAAGTTAAGTAATAATTCGTTAAAAAATAACAAGCAAACATCCATCTCATAGATCCGCATTTCCCAAACACTTCTTAATGGAATTCAAATCGATTCCAGGACAACTGCGTATCTGTAGGTATTCTAACAGTTGCAGTCCTTATTCCTTGTATTGCAATTTTAACACGCTACTAAAGTAACATGTAATACAATATTACGACTGGTAGCCTCGAATAATGTAAGATGATAGTGTATCGAACCTGCGACTCTCCGGTACGTAATGTATCTCCCAGGACAATATTGAAATTTTATACTAATACCCTTCGTTGATTAAGGACAATTGCGGTTATAAGAATCGTAGTTTTTTCTATTTATTTTATTATGGAAATCTATAGTTAGACATTTTAATACTTAATAGTATAAGTAAACACCAGTGTAAGGTAGGTAAACATAGAAAATGGCGTAAAAAGATAAAGTAGTACAGTACGGAAAATCTCTTGTATTACTTTTTTTAAATCGACGGGACCAACTAACGAGGTTTGATAGGGTTTTGTTTAATTTCTAACATTATTTTTGGAACAAGCAGAGATAATATGTGTCAAAACAAATGTGATTACGGTCAGTTCTGACAATTTGTACTGAATAGACGAAGTTATCAGTTAAACTGAGCGTCTGTAGCGAGCATTACGCACCGCAGTAAGGATGAAAAGTTTCAACGTGATTATGTATTCGTATTATTAAATAATACTGATATAAACAGGTTACCGAAACTCGACTCGTCTACCAAGTTTGGCACCAGTACCTGTCAATACTTCCATTAAAGTTATTGTAAATTTATGTTGATAGCTTTAATTTGATGAACTATAAAAGTTAAATTAAGAATTCGTATAGATCTTGGCTCTTTGATTCTATTTAATATCAAAGAATTTAAGTAAAGTTGCAAAAATAACATAAACCTTTTTGGTTTCCACTAACTAATTTAGACTAATCTCCAAGACTTCAGGTTCAAAGACTAAAAGAAATCATTGACGTATTACTGCAGTTTTCATTATCGTAGACACATGGAAGAATGTAGATTGCTAAACACTTCTGTTAAAAATACGCTAATTCATTCAAACAACCAGTACAAAGCAACAACGTGCCTCGACTGTACATCGTAGTTTAGATCTAGGACAGTGGGTTTCCCAATCATATCTCAGTTTTCCGCGTCTCTTAACAACCACCAAACAATGGAGCAGTTAGCTTAAAAAGGATAAACTTTACGAGTATTGTTTATCGTAGGAGGGGGGCGGTGTGCCCGAACGAAGCATCGACTCGACTACCGCGCAGTGGATTTTCTGAAGGCTGTGGTGCGGGCCGCATGCCAACGCTACGTTCGACCTCGCACGACCCTATTAATACAAGACACATCGTCTATCACTCATAGTCCACTCTGTAATCCCAAACATGCAGTTCCTCCTGTTGTGTGTGTGCCTTTCGGTGGCTGCGGCTCCTACCCTTTCAACGCCTATCCCTGCTGACGGCTTCGTGTTCCCAGATGCTGTGAGAAATCAGCGAAAACTGGAACCGATTACTCCACCCGTTCTACCGGTATTAGAACATTTGGAGCGAGATCCAAGTACGCTGCTTCCTGGTGAAGGCACCAAACGAGTGTCCGGAACTCCGAGGCCTCGGTTTGGATTTGGAGGCGGGTTCAACGTGGCTCCGACTGGGAACGGCGGTCTGTCTGCAAGTGTGAGCAGCAGTGCCAGTGGTGCCGGTATCAGCCACTCGGCGTCTCAGTCGTTCTCGTTTGGATTCAATGAAGGTTTCAGCGCATCGCACTCAGCGAGTCAAGCCTCGTCCTTTAATGGATTTGGAAGGTCAGTATTATAATTTCATATTCAAATCAGGTATTGTTTTAACCTTTAACAGATTACAGAGTTTACCGATTAAATTCTAATTACAAAATTTCGTAAGTGGTTCAGTAATTTGGAAAAAAATATTGACATTCACAAGAGCATTATTTAATATTGAAGATAAGATAGATTTAGCATTCTCATGAAACAGACTTTAGTTCTTTTTTAACATTTTCGTCTAATAAATATTAGACGAAAATGTTTGAATTTAGTAGGGCTTAATCTGGGCGTAACATAATTTCATCTTTAGTTATGTTTCCTGGCTAACGAATATAGATTGTTATTCAAACTCCAAACCAAAGTATCGATAGTTTATGAATACTAGAAAATGTCAAAATATAGACTATTACTTCTAAGTCATCCCATGCTGTCTGTAATCAAAACATTGACTATCATCAAAAGGTAAACTAGGTAAAGAAAAGTTTAGACTCAAATCATCTGCCAGGCAATTTTAAGATGTCATCTTCATGTGTGGTAAATAGTACTGCGCCAACTCTCCATAGGGACAGAAAGACGATGTCTGGTAAATTCCATCCAAAATAACTTAAGTACAAATGTAGCAAACAACTTGAAACAACAACAACAACTTGAATTTACTTGCTTAACCATAATGATGTACATGGATTTTTGTGTTTATTCAAATATTGACTTTGCTTTGTTGACACGAGCGTTCACGGCTACTTATGTGTATTCATAATGATCTTCTGGTATATAAAAATATTACGATGTTTAAAGCCTATCGCTTACTAATATAATAAATGCGCAAGTTCGTTAGGTTGGATAGATGGATGTTTTCTAGAATTTGTAGCCTAAACTGCTGTACGGATATTTGGCACAGATATAGAACATACTCCGGAAGAACACGTAGGCTACTTATTAGTATTTTTTTTAATTCCGCGTGTTGGAATCTCGAGCGTGTAGTGTGTAAAAATAAATAGTACATTGACATCTGCTATGAAAAGAAAATACATAACAGATATCTCTTAGTAATATCATCATCAACTTGCCTTATTCCTTTTAGAGGGTCGGCACAGTATGTGCTGCTCTTCCATACATCTCTATCAGCCGTCATATCTGAATTCACTCCCTTTTTAAGCATATCCTCTTTCACACAATCCATCCATACTTTCTTCGGTCTTCCTCTACCTTTGTAGCCATGTGCATTTAATCTTGACACTTTTTGGTTTATGTCCCCATAGTCTCGTAGCATAATATAATAAAATATGATAATAAACGTTTTGATTCTGAGATGTCTCCTGATAGTTCACTTTAATGGTTACGTACATTCATCTCTGTGTCTTTCTTTACTCGTAACTCGAATCCGGATGCAAGCCAGTTCTGAGTGTCCGTGTTAACTAAAAGTAAATTAAAAAAAACAACATCCGGGATTTTTAAAATCTTGAACTTTTTGCTATATAATTGCCCGAACCTTTCTCTTTATATAGATCAAGGATCAGTTTCAGTGGAAAATATATAACAAATTGATGGCTCGGCCGTAAACCAACGTATGTTTGAAACTCAAATTATGCAAGACACCCTTTAAACAGTAATACGATTATTTACGACATATTAAATAGAAAATTCAATAATCAACCGAAATGTACAGTTACTCCTCATTCTAACGTTATTTTCAAATTCACACAGAAATATATTGTTAAGTTAATTAAAAAAACACAAATTAAAGTGTAAATTACAAAATTGTGACTTACGTTAGTCTACATAGAAATCATTAAAATTTTATTGCAGTTCGGACAAATGTTAGGGTCTATAAATTTCGATACTTTTAATACTCTCTGTCTAAATTATAAAGATCAAAAATTTCAAGTATGTTTCCATTCAAAATAAACTCGTGAGACGGATTTTATTGACAAGTTAAATGGAATTGTGGTCAAAGATCCCATTACTCTATCAGAAATAAAAGAAAAAATACATCTAAATATTTATAGCTATTATTTAAGTCGCATAAATAACAGTTTCGATAAAAGTTTTCGCTAATTAAAAGCATTACAAGGTCAGTGATCCGTTTTACCGGTTCAAAAAACAAGAATTAAACCAACGCTTCCTATTTCATTAATACTGAATTGATTGGTAAAAATAATTACTAAGATGGTTATACAAAAAATATAGGGTTATCTTGGTTGAATGGATCCGAGACTATTATTTTTTAATAAAAAATTAATATTTATTAAATTCTAATCGCAATTTATAGAATGCTTCCTGTTAAGTAAAGGTTACTATGAATCCGAACTGCTAACTTGTCTACCTTACATTGTCACATTTCTCCTTGAATTAATATATTAAACCTTTTAATAAAGATCGACTTGTTAGTAGCATATTTATAATAATATATAGAATAGTATACGTCCAAGCAACTGGATTTATTACCAATCAATATTAGTTAACCTTTCAATAAGAGATTCGGTAAACTTTTGTCGATCCATTTATGTATTTTCGCCGTTATATTTGATGACCGATGTCACATATTTATCATGTGACAAAAAATACCAATAAAAACAAGATATTCTTAATTATTTCTGGTCAAAGGATCAAAATTGATTATGAAACAGCTACTTTTAAATTTACATACGTCTTACAAATTAAAAATGTTTTAAAACCTCACTCAAGTACCCAAATAACTTATTGACATCTCTTACCATGACATACATCTGCCTTGAAACATTGCTGTCGCATTTCTTCCAAAGAGAGTAAGAGGGAAGGCAACATACTTATTATAATAATAATGATTTCAGCTTCAGCGGCAGTCAGGCGAGCAGCCAGGCTGCGTCATTCAGCGGAGCTGGTGGCTCCCTGTCGGGCTCAGCAGCCGCTGCAGCTGCGCAGGGCGGGAGCTTCGGCAGCCAGAGCACATCCTCGGCTTTCGGCTTCAATTCACTCAACGATGGATTTCCTCGACCACAAGTAAGTATGCGAACCTAAGGTTTAAGTAGTTCAAATGCATACTGAATATCAATTTTGGATTGTCCCGTCATATCTGATGGTCATACTAGTTATGGTTGCATCTGGAGTAGAAGATCTTAACGTACTTCTGACCAAAGACTTAAAATTTGGAGGATGATTGGTCTTTTACTTGGTCGCTACATCTTGTCAAGTGGAAGAATTATTTCCTTGCTCCCTTAATTTATATCTTATATTTCTTTGAAACTATAGTTTTATTGAGAAGTCATAATTAAAAAAGAGTTATATTTTTTTGTATTTACATGATTTATAAAGAAATTTAAACCTATTATCCATTTTTTATCTCGTTATCGTAACATTTAAGATGAACTAATGACGTAACTTATCTACATCCTTGTGACGTAATCAGTTATCACAATCGTAAAACACATCCGTTTATGAAATTATATTCGACCCGCCCACGAACCCGGCTCCAAAATGAATTTATATCCTTGTTATGGAAAATCCGCTTGTTATGCTATTGGCACACTCAAGTTATTTATACTTTCAGACATCATAACTCAGAACCTTTTGCTAGAATTATTGCCATGATATCATCTTGGAAGTTTATTTGATAAAATCAAACAACTCTATACTTTACTTACCTTTAACAAACATAAAAAACCTTTATATAGGATGTTGAAATTCTAGGTACTATTAAATTAGATTTAAAAGTTACACGAAAAGTCACTGATACTATAAATAATTGTTAAGATCTTCTATAGGAATGAGTTATAACTCATTCCGTTATTATTATTATTATTTAATACAGAAAGCATAAAAACACGCCTATTATTAATAGGAACTGTGACAAGATCTTATTATATTTTTATTTCGTACATATTTCTATAAAAACATTACTATCGAGTTTATGCAATTTCTTCTTCGTGTTTCGATGATGACGTAAGTTGTACGTGCGTAATTAATTATTGTTTACACATAAGTACTTGAGAAACGAATAACTTAAGATTAAGTTATATAACATTACGTATACTTATCTCACACTAGCTTTCGCCCGCGACTACGACCGCGTGGAATTTAAAAAATAACCTATACGCTCTTCCAGACTATTCTATACATCTATGCCAAATTTCATCAAGATCCGTTCAGCTGTTTAGGCTACAAACTCTAACAGACATCCATCTCTTCCTTATGTGCGTCTCCTCCGTCAATGAAGGGTAGGCAACGCATCTGGATGTTTATGGGCAGCGGTCGCTTTTCATTTCGGTGGATTCAGGTGGCCGCTTGTTCGTTTGCCACCTTATATTATAAAAAAATCTAAACTAACTTTCGCATTTATAATGTTAGTAAGATAAGTTCTTTATTAAATTTTCGTTTAACCTCATTTGGTATTATTTTTTGTTACGTGCAACTAAAACAACTTTAAATACGAAGCCTACTTGGAGAGACATTTTGTGTATCTTTATGTTGGAAAGACTTTTTGTTGTGATGTCGCAATCATGAAACCATTTTACATTCAAGTCGCTGAATTAATTTAAATTTACAGGTATTACAATATAAACAACAATGATAATTTAAAAATACTCTTTTCTTATATTCCAGGCATCCTTTGGCGAAAATCTTCTTGATATAAGACACCGTGGCGTGCCCAACTTCCCCTTCCCCAATCTGCTCGCTAGAAACAGGGGTTCCGGAGCGGCAGCTTTCAGAACTCTGAACGGACCCACCAGTAGGAACGGAGACGACTTCTTAGCTGTACTAGTTTCTAATTAAAATTACGAATCGAAATGTTTGAAATGGAGATAAGAACAATAGCCAGTTACTGATTGGCCTATTTTGACAGATAAATTTATGGATCACTAGCCTTCGCGACTCCATAAGCGTGGAATTTAAAAAAAAAACAAAAGCTGGTAGCCTGTTTGTTCTTTCAGGCTATGCTCTACAAATGTTATCGAGACACTTTCAGCAGTTTAGCTGCAAACTCTAACAAACATATATCCATCTAAACATTCGCATTTATAATATTAGGGAGATTGTTGTTATATTTGAATTTATAATTAATGGATAGAGTCCATTTTACTTCTTACTAATATTATAAATGCGAAAGTTTAGAGAAATGGATGTTTGTCAGAGTTTGTAGCCTAAACAGCTGAAAGGAGGTCGATGAAATTTGGCATAGATGTACAGAATAGTATGGAAGAACACATAGGCTGCTTTTGTTTTTTTTTAAATTTCGCATGGACGAAGACCCTGGCGTAAGATAGTTGTCTAATATTCACAAAATAATACAGAATTCTTAATCTAATTATTGACTATGTTTCACATTATTTTTTTATGTTTTGTAATTGTCGGAATGGGTCTTTTACAATGCGGCAAGTATAAGAGATGTATGAGAATTGATTAGTATAATTTTGATACGAGTTACCAAAATAGTTTTAAATTACAATCAATGTCAGTCAATAACGGATTAAAGCTCTCTAGAAAGAATTTATATGTAACTAGTAACTAGATAGCATATTTACATACTGTTTTAATAATGGAGATGTAATTATGTACACTATTTGAAGTAGTCCTTGTATGCCTTAAATGTGTTTCAAATGAAAACGAAACCTTGAAAAGTAAAGTAACGAACAATTAGCGAAACAAAACACAATCTTCATGGACACTTCAAACGACGCGAAAACTATTGCAGCACATTTGCATGTATGAAGATTGTTTTGAATAATCCAAGTTGCGTTAAACAAATTATTGTCTTAGAGTTTTTAAACTTTTGAATTTCAATCTATATTTAGCACCTGCCTCAGCTTTCACAATATATAATGTGTTTGTTTCGATGTTATTGCAGCGACTGAGATTCTATTTATTACTAGTCATTAAGGCTTATAAAATAAAATGATAATTAAAAACAAAATGATTTTTATTGTTTATTTTATTTAGTGTCTTAGCCCCAAATATTTAAATAATTGGAAACTCTAGAAACACGTACTTACCATAGTTGTTTGTACTGATTAGTGTAACTAATCATTGTGAATTTCCAATTATACTAATTTTAATACCATTTCTACAAGAAATTTATAAAAACTCTACAGGATAATCTTTTCAATTGATTTTCTAATCTTAATCGTCAAAATTGTTCATTTCGTTTAAATTTCAGAAAGCCACAATGGAACGGATACTGGAAGTATACACTCGAAAAACAGTATCCTTGTTGCTTCCAATATCCATCCTACAAACCGAAATATTTGCTTTTATAAAATTTACAGGCGTTAAAAGTAAACCTTTTGTACTCTTTGTTATAATTTTGTGTTACGTAGCTATTATCTATGCGGAAATACTATTCTGTCCATTTGGAATGAAACACGATGTTTGCAAAGATTTGAATTTCTGCCTGACAAGCACTTAGGCTAAAGTGACCCTTAGATGGGAGTACGTGTTTATTTTTAAGAATATTCGTTTTATATTTCGAAAGCGAGCATTGATAGTCTAGCCATAGCATAATACAAGGTGGCAAACGAGCAAGCGGCCTGAACTGAATCCACCGAAATGAAAAGCGACCGCTGCCCATAATCATCCGCAATTGCAGATGCGTTGCCTACCCTTAATTGACGGAGGAGGAGACTCACATCAAGAGGACATTTCCCCTTCACATACGTCTCCTACACTGTCAAATCCACTTTTCCTTTCCATCCTTCCCTCTTAAGAAAACGGTGGAAAGGTAATGGGACAAAAATTAGGCCTCCGGCACCACACACATCAGCCGAAACGCGGAATTCCACTTGACACCTGTTTTCTGTGTGGTCGTGGTATTACACCGGGCGAGCTGGCCCATTCCTGCGAAGATGTTAAAGCGGGCTCTACCACTGTTTTTAAAATGCAATTATCTTACTAGGATTCAACCCAACATAAAACACAATAGGCGTACAAAAGTTGATGATTATCACAGTTGCAAAGATAAGGTTCCACTGCTTTTTTTTTGTCATTCACCATCGCTGTTTTTTAATTTTTTTACGGCATAATATCAACACTAATTTGTAATATTATCAGATAATATCTTTGTCACATAAAGGTTATGCATATTTTTCCTGATAAAAAACAAAGATGAACGTATTAACCATTACGCAATCGTTCAAAAAAACTACAAGGCGATCATGTCTTATAGAACAATTGACAGGCTCATTGAAGACCCAGGATATTCCGATGACTCACGAAGAACCGACACGATGTTGATGTTTTAAAATTCGCCGCTGTTCGGATTACAAATGGCCCTTAAGCTGGGCCATTGCCAGATTTGATGGAATACATTTAGTATATGACTGTTGGGGCGTCCCAAAATTTGAATATACCAAATATTCTTCGTTCATTGTTTATTTCATACTTTAAAAACCTTTGATATTTTTAATTAAAAGAGAGTAAGTATGTATAAACCAAACAAAAGCGATTTTTAGTTCTATCTCCAGATTCTTCTGTGTTTGTCGCCTTGTATTATATTATAATTTATTTCAAATAAGTTTTGATGTGTAATATTTTTAATTATACTGTCGGCAATATGGTAAAGTTCTTGTTAGTTTCATTAAAGAAATATACAGTACTTAATTGCACTCGTAATTTTTTAACTCCGGAATTCAACAAGCTTCCTATAGACATAACCTTGGCTATACAATCTTAGACTGTATTTAAAAGTTGTTTATCTTTGTTACATCAGAAGATATATGAAGAGGAAAACAATGTTAAAATATAACAAGCCTACAGATTAAATACAATATCAGATCTCCCACAGACTCAGAAATATTTACAAGAAATATAATAAATTTGTTAGAAGTAGCATAATTAAACACAAAACAGTTAAGGTTATGTTAGAGACTGGGTCAGATAAACTTAAGATGGCGACATCAAGTTGTTAACTCATTTGTATTCTAATTTTAAACACTGCTTAATGCACTATGATATTATTAAATGCCTGTCATGTTAATATAGAAGAAGCAACCTTTGGAAATAATTCAATTCCATATAAACGTAAAACCCGTAACGGTATAACTTTTTTTTTAAATGGCAACAGTCGTGAACTGGACATAAATGAATTTTAATTTTCGTACACATCAAGTTCGTCGTACGTCAGAGAAGTTGGACATTCGAGTTTTATAAAGCATATATATCTCGTGTTGTAGTGAAAAAAGTTTTTATTTAATAAGTAACAATGATAGGGGATTTATTAATAGTGTTAATTACATGTCTATTAATAATTATCGTTAGCGGATGGACTGTATTTCCCTTACCGAATACTCAGTACCAGTACCATGCAATGCCAACGCCTGCGTTACAACCGAATTGGCAGAAACCAAACTGGTACCAGAACTGGAATCAGCCACCAGCGAAGTGCGTGGAAAGTTCAATAACATCCGATGTGATAGCACCGAGTTCTATCGCATCACCAGCCTTACCTTATATTGAACCTAAAATACGTTCAAGATTGCAAGTATCTGTCACGAGTACGGACGAATATTTGACACCAACAGCTGTCGTAAAATCGCCCCGGTATGAATCGACTTCGGAACCCTTTTAAAAATTAAAGCAAAGGGTAATCATGTCAAGTTGGACCAGTTATCTGCACTTTAAATTAAGGTACAGTACAATCTAAAGATAATTAACTTTGCTCATACGAATATAAAATTTTGCACACATACGAGTATATACAGTATTTTATAGACGTCACTTTCACTAAAACTTTACAATATCCTACGAAATAAATATAGTGATTACTAAAGAATAATAAGTAACATAAGACGACTAAAAATAGTACATAATTTTCGTGTATCACAGTGCAATTATATCGGTATGTTTCTAGGTAATCACAATATCTTTTCATATTGTATAAGTTACAATGTGAGGTTTTGTTTCGCGCGTCGCAGGTAAGGCTGTGGATTCCCCAGAGACCGGACAAACAACTAACATACCGACGAAGCCTCAACTAGATAAACAACTTTATTTACGTGTTATTACTATAAAAAAAACTAACGTAACGTTTATTGAAGACACTGTAATTATTAATAATCTGTATGTTTTTTTTAAGTTTATATTGTTACTTTACTAGCTTGCTTAATCATCACGAAATTCTTCAGAAACTTCTATATACCTTCCGTTTCAATTTTATAACAGAATTTTTAAATTTAAGGATATATGACGACCAAGATGATATTATAGTTAAATTATTTCCTTAAAATCAAACTATAAAATTTGCGTTTCAAACTTACTTAACCTGTATTTTGTACTACATTAAACCAAAACAGGAAAAACTAAGTTTATGACGTTAAAATGAGCGAACGTATACGACTTGGGCCTAGTCTTTCTATAAGGTCAGGAAGATGAATTACTGAAGTTTGTACGTAATCTTATTTTCAATAAAAAAAATTAGAATACACTTGTTTATTGTGATAATGTAATATTGATTTAACGTATCCATTTAAACAATGATTGACTGGCAATTTAGATACTGGCCCTATATAATGGCGTAGTATCATTTGAACATTAGACTAATACAATAATTATCAGTCCCAAAAAATTAAGAAAAAAAGAGTAAAACCGTGATAAATAAAAAACAAGCAAATAAAATCACTACGCTTACATTAAATAAATTGTTCATTATTTAAGAACATTTTATTAATTCAACATTAACTTTAAGATACGCCATTAAAATCTTCCAAGTTGATTGTAAAACCGCCAAAATCGGTTTTAAATTTTGATCGATCTCAAATAAAATCAAGGACAAAATCTAAAAGGAACATAAAACTTTAAACTCAACCTTTCGCAAATCGTGATCTTATTGGAATCACAACAAACGTATATAACGGCTTCCTATTTATTAACAACAACATTCTGCTTTAGCCACGATGAGTTTAATTCATAGATACGATAAATTGAGAAACAAAATAAGAATTACAACATTATTAATACTAGTAAATATATTTAGTGCAGATTTATTACCAACTAAAAGTGATAGTATAGGAGTAATATATCCCGTGCTAGCTTCGCCTATGAATTCAAAAGCGCGTGTTACGGAGACAGCTAAAGACTTTCCAGTTTTGTTACTACTGGCCAACAAAAATAATCATTATATGGATGTGCCTAGAATGGGAAAGGAAACGGAACTTATTTATGTAGAGGTAAGGAAATTATCCCATACCGCTTGTAAGATAATTAGAAATAAAGTAGAGATATAGATTCCAATCCCCTAATCGCCTATTGTTGAAAATCGGAGCAAAAATAGCAACAGATAAAGAAATGTACTGAAAGAGCGTACTCCTCCCTTAAAGGCCGGCAGCGCATCTGCAGTACACTTGGCATTGCAGATGTTATATGTGGGATATATGTCGGATAACTTAATATCAAGCGATCCGTTGCTCGTTCGCCCGCTTTTCTTATAAAAACAAAAAAATTAATAAATACTTTAAAACAATAAAAAAACCTTTGTAATAAAACAATGGGAAACTTAGGAATATCTAAAAGCAATGTCGCAGATATCGTCATGGGTTTCTCTAGTTATATATTAGGTTTTTTATTATGTTCTCTTATAAAAGTACACGGATGTTGCGTTGTCTGATGACACAGTCCTTTGAAAGTCATAGCGCCTCATTACAATTCATAGTCAAAGTTGAGCGTGAAGCTATTCCCGTCCTCTAAGATGCATTTATGATGCATACCAACAGATAGATTAAAACAAGAGATAATATTAATAAATGCAACTAGACAATGTGTTGGAAATCATGTCAACAGGAGTTAGTTTAATGCTCATCTCTTTGGAAATTACCGACAAATATTAATGGTAGAATATCGTCATTAATTACGTAGTCTGACTGAATTTAACTCTTTATTATTGTGATGTATTTGTTCTGATATAAATTCACAATAAAGTGAATATTACCAGACTCAAGTTTTCATACATTTAAAGATCAAGGCTCAGGTCGAGAAAATTATGTAATTCGATCTTTAAAATCAGTAAACATCGAGTTAATAAAAATTAAAAAAAAGTAATATTTTGTGGATGATTTTATAACACAAGCTGTTGCTCGCGACTTCGTCCACTATAAATTAAAAATAAAAAAAATGTAATCTATGTAAGTTAATGATAACGTAACTTTTTAACAGAGAAAGAATTTCTGAAATCGATCCAGTAATTTTCGCGTTTCAATACATACAAAAATACAAATATTTCCTCTTTTTAAAATTAGTATACATAAAATGACGCGAAACTAGAAAGTAATATCAGTCTAGCAATAATATATGGACGTATTGAAATATAAGTAGACATTCATAAGTGGAATTTCAACCTTCATATTGTCGCGAAATCGCGCTAGTGGAGGCCCTTAAAATTAAGGTAATTCAGAAGTAGAAACAGTTTACTGCAACACCACGATTGGGGTGTATTTCGATAATCTACGGACTATGGAACTTGTATATCTCATATATTTTTTCCTTTGTTACAGAGACTAGAAGAACGCATCAACCCCAGACATGCAATTTACTAGCAATTTCCATATTTGAATTGTAATTTTTAAAAACTAATTTAAAAATGTGTTACCATCTTTCTTTAAGGTTCTCAATAAATAGAATGATTATCATATTTACTTTTACTTTAAATTGAAAAACAACATTATAAGATTTAGGGTCTGTCTCACAATTGTAAACTGTCCGATAACAATCCAACATCTAAAATATGTGATGGAAATATCGGATTTATTTACCTTATCTGACAGTGACGTCATTTTTAAGCTTTCTTAACCTCTATCACACAGTGGTGGGACAGGCCCATTATTAAATCGCAATTCCACCCAAGCCAAGCGTATTAAACGTCAACAATAACTATCGGAAATATCTTTAAGGTTGTTTATGTATTAATGACATCAGATTTTTTTATATACGGACAAAGAAAAAGTGTAAAGTTCAATGCCAGTTTGCGGATACAGCAGTCAGATATTTTTACAGATATATGTAGCTTGCTCTTCCTTAGCGCGCACCATTGACTAAACTATCGCACAATTGTTTAGTCTCCCTTTAATTCCTATATGGAGACGCGGATACTATTCGAATTTTAGTTGTGCAACTAAACAGTTGCATAGCTGCGAAACAATCGACAACCGCACAACAGTTATGCGATAAGTCAATGGTGTGCGCCCGTTCTTAATATAGTCGGAAAAGAATTACGAATTTATACGTCTGCATTCTGTTGGAAAAAAGCCCATTTAACAAGTAAGATGTAATCATTTTTATTGTACTACATTCCTACTGTACGGATATTCGCAGCTGAAATAAAAGATTGCACACCTCAAGAATTAATTGCAGTTGATATATATTTTAAATGGAGTATTTTAATTACAGTAATTTCCAAAATGACTGGTCAACTCTTCGGTGTCATCAAAACGGAATCCTATTTTAAAAAAGAGAATACATTATATTTTATTTACTCTGTTATGTATTGAAAGGTATTTTATTTACTGGTATCTTAATGAGTAGTCATTAATAATAATAGTATTAATCTTTAGTTATAAAGTTTCCAGACTAATAAATGTTGCAGTTTTTATAGCATTTGATCCGCTGTAAATGAATCGACCCACGTTATATGATGATCAGGTAATATTACGGCTTTAATGAATCGAAATTCGTTATTAATTTTACTAATATTATAAATGCGAAAGTTTGGATGGATGGATGTTTGTTAGAGTTTGTAGCTTAAATTGCTAGACGGAACTCTATGAAATTTGGGATAGACGTAGGGGATATTCTCGAAGAACACATAAGCTATTCATTTTTTTTTATTTTATAATAAAAGGGAGCAAACGAGCGGTGTGAACACCAAGGTGGCAACACCAGAGGAACTTCAGAAGCGTTGCCGGCCTTTGAGAAAATGATAGGCTCGCTTCTTGAAGGACCCTAAGTCGTATTGGTTTGGAAATACCGCCGAGGACAGACCGTTCTACAATGCGTCTGCGCGTTGGAACCACTAGTTTAACTTTACTGTTATTTAAAAAATACTTTCATGTATGAAAAATATTAAACAAAGAAGATAGTCCTCTTAAAGCAGCATTTAGTTGATAGGTAAATACGTTGAGTTAACCCTGGATTCTCTTCATCCACATCTTACATTGGGAGATTAGTAATGGATCTATTACCCGACCCGGATACTGGTTAAACCCATTATAAATGGAGTAGTAATGTATTGAATCCTTAAGACGTACATTCTGTCCACGTCCGCCGTCACCGCAAGCACCTTCTTGCATTTAAAAGAAGCAATGACATAAATCAGTTTATTCAAATTCGAGATGACGTTAGCGCCTGATATAAATTTTTCTATCAATAATTTGTTTTGTAGGAGTAAAATCTTCGTAACTTGATTTTGGTATGTCGTTTTCTTTTAGTTTAGCGTTGACTATTTGCGTTCTTACATTTTTGCGATCATAAATCCAAAAGAGAAGGTATGAGTTTTGCAATTTAATAACATAAACTTTAACCGAAAAAACGGCTCAACTAACGTTTTTATCTAGTTTCAGACCCTTCGGGGTCCTTCTTCAGGGCGAGTATTAGTTAGCTTTTATTCGCGGTCACGTCGCGCATCGGACATTAAAAACGAAAAAACTATTGATTGAAAAACTGTACCAACTGATGGTTTAAGAACTTATTAAGGTTTAATAAAGCTAGCTTGTTAAAGATTTCAATTTCAATAAATATCTGTATTTGCTAATAATTCTTGATCGTCGAGCTAAATATGTTAATTCTACAAAATTAATCACATAGAAGCATATCAAAAACAACACCTGTGAGAAACACAGATTGCAAACAAATTGTTATAACTAATAAAAAATCATTGCAATGTTCGACGAAAACCAGTTTGATACTCGTATTATTCTTATTAGATTAATCCTTTGTAAAAACAAGTAACGTCTTCATCGTTTCTGGTTGTAGAGTACAATTAATAAATTTTTATCTTCCTTAAGATGAAATGAAAGAGAATAGTTAATTACCAAAACTATATAGAATCACATTATAATCATAGTATGTGTTTATATAAAACTAGTTTTCACTCGCGACTCCATCCGCATGAAATTAAAAAAAAGTTAGTAGACTACGTGTTCTTTGAGACTATCGTCTACGTCTATGTCAAAATTCATCGTTATCCGTTCAGCCGTTTAGGCTATAAACTCTAACAAACATCCATCCATCCATCTAAACTTTCGCATTTATAATATTAGGAAGATTATCAGTCAAAATTCATAAAAAAACAAGTTCCTGATAGTTAAAATTAATCTTTGTATTATGCATTGATTCTACTGTTTTTATCCAATCAAAGACCGCATTTGCAAAAAAGCAATTAAAACGTATCGTCATTTGTTTTAACTGAAGATCCCTGCGATATTCAATTAGAATAATGATTTAAATATACTGAACAATTTAACAAAGAATATAATTATATTATATATATTTGCAATTCTGAAATTTAATTAATTAAGGAAAAGAAGCGTAAAATTAAAGGTTTATAAACCTCTTTATCAAATTCAATTTGAAAATGTTCATGAAGACAATAAGATAACAGATATCTTCTTCAAATGACATCCTTATTTGCATATTTAATGTCATTCGCAGACTAAACAATGATCCGGATTCTTGAGGAAAAACCTTTTCCACGTTTAATAGGATTTTACCGATTACTAAGTAGTTATTATTTTACGTTCAAAGCAATCTCCATACAGATGCATAATTACGTAAACCATGTTTCATAAGATATTATTTCCTACAAACAGATAGCACGTAACCACCGTGACGATGATAAGCAGAAACAATACCAATGAATACTAAATACAGTAACTAATTTAATTCACTGGAATGTACTTAGGGTAGGTTTGAGACCCACGTTGCTGACACATGCTAAGAACAATGGTGTCTAGGAAAAAATTAAATCAAAACATCTTTAAATTGAAAACAGATTAATTGATGTTGTCTTTATTATATCTCATAAATTATTTTTATGGTTTAAACTAACCAATTTTTTAAGCGATTAACGTATTAATGTTTACGCAAACTAAAGAAGTAACCATACAATAAAATTATTTACTTTAAAGATGACAAAATTCACGTGTATTTGAACCTTTATAGTGCCCTTCATCAGCGTCATAGATCACCTAGGTCATAGCTAGTACAGTTCGATCGATCGATTGAGATGCGACTTTGCTGGCTTCGGTTTTTAAATAAAGTGAATTTTAGTATCTCTAGACAAATGGAATTAAAAATATATCTACTGTTAATGGTCATGTTTAAATATATCCATATCAACTCGGGCGGCCGCTTTAGGAATAACCAGATATGCGAACGGACTTTGCAAATTGTCGGGTGCAAGCGTAACATAATGGTACATTTAATATCAACAAACAACACAACTAATAATTACCTATAAAATTGCATTACTAAAGCCTACTTTTTGTAACGTCACCGTGAGAAAATGTTCTACGAAGTATCCTGCGAATAGTGACGTATGATGGCGTCAGATATCGAATGTATAAATAGGTCGTAGCGGAGCGTCCCGCGGCAGTACACAATGGGATTCAGTGTGGTGGTGAGCGTAGTGGCATTGGCCGGACTGGCCTGTGCCACGGTCGGTGACAATGCCCTAGACGCCGGCGAGAGGGTGGTACTCGTGGCACCAGTGCTTGCGCCCCCCAAGGACTCCAGGACTCACGCTAATGATCGGTCCAGACAGTTCCCGATTTTAGTACTCTTAGCCCAAGAGAACCCGCCGCCAAGTGGACGGGAGACCTCTGCTAAATCTTTAGGAATCAACCCTCAACCTATTTATGTTCAGGTAACGTTGAAATCTTTTATATGAAAATCTCAAAATAGAGATATTTTTTGGCAATTACTTTAGAGTATTTTTTAATCTGTAAAGAAAAATAAGTGTTCACATAATGTTACTTTTGTATAGTTCCAAAATATTATCCAAGGTGATATTCAGATGTATACGAACGAGTTCTTCGCTGTTTTAAGTACAAAAAATAGTGTATGTAATAATTTTATTATTACTTTAAAACCTGTTTCAGAAGCACAGACCTCGACTCTTTATTTCGAGATTTAAGTAACTCATTAAAGTGAATGAATTTTTTTAAAATTAAATGAGAAATGTTGCTTAGTGACCAGTGAAACTTTAATTATCATTATGTACTGTAAAAATAACATGAGTTAATACGTAATATTTTTATAATTACTTTGAAATACAAATATTTACCACAATACCGTGAATCATAAAGAGACAATTAGTATTCTTCACCTGTAATAAGTTTCACTTTACATATAAGAAATTTTCCATAAAAAAAGTTTTTTTTGTAAAGAGTTCTATTTTGATGTATTATGTTATTATAATTTAACTATAATAAACGCTACAAAATCAAAATAATGTGTTTAACAATTTTAAACCCACGCAATTTTCAGTAATACAACTTAATAACAATTACAGAAGCTCAAGACTTCAGACCAAGAGAATGCTCAGCCAGTGAGACAAAACCGACAGAAGCGACATCTGTTAAAGAGCCTTCTTCTCGGAGGTGGAGGTGGAGGCGGGATATCCTTTGGCGGAGGTTTCGGGTATGGCGGAGGTTATAGCGGAGGTTATGGCGGCCATGGCGGTTACGAAGAACCCACCAAAACTATTGTATTGGTGAAAGAACATGGTAAGCAATTGTATTTAAATTAATACATTTATTTAAAATACTAGCTTTCGCCCGCGACTCCGTCCGCGTGGAATTAAAATAAACAAAAGTGAGTAGCCTATGTGTTATTCCAGACTATCCTTTACATCCACACCAATTTTCATCGAAATCCGTTCAGCCGTTTAGGCTACAAACTCTAACAAACATCCATACATCCATCTAAACTTTCGCATTTATAATTTAAGTATGAAGTATGATAATTACTTCCTTGTCACTAAATAGCAAGGCCGTGCAGTGCAACGTAATGAATGTGACGAAAATTAATATAAATCTGTATTTAAATCATTAATATAACAAAAAAATAAATTGAAGAATTATTTCAATTACTTTATATAAAAATGTATACAAAAATTACTAGATAGCCTTATTTAATTTATCTATTGCAATTGTGATCTACAGATCAGTTAAATTTGAACCAATGCAAAGGTTCGAGATATGTTATTGAGTTTGCTGTTGATGATTTATCAATCATTCCATACGTAGTCGCATCTTACACTCAGTTGACTTTTTGACATTTAACATTGATGAAAATATTATTCACCAAATGCACACGATGTGCATAATTAGGTGCAACATTATTTAATGCAGTTTAAAAAAACACCATTTGCATTTATATCATCGAATGTCGTTTTGCAATATTAAGATTATTTTGTGACCAGGAGTATTGGACGTCTGACGTATGTTTTGTATTATTCATTCATTTATTGTTTTTCGTAACTCTAAATGGTAAAATTGACCTTGCAAGTTGCATCAACCATAATGTCAACAATGTATTTATATTTCGTACTGGCAGATATAATCGATATCAGGTCTCCTTCATGTCTTATAAAATAATTTTGTTCATTTATGTAATGTCACTTCCAGGACATGGCAGGGGATATGGCGGTGGCTACGGCGGTCACGGCGGCTACCACGGTGGATATGATAACAGCGGTTATGGACACGGAGGCGGATATAACAATGGCGGCGGATATAACAACGGTGGTTACGGCAACGGCGGAGGCTATGGCGGAGGTTACGGCGGAGGATACGGCGGTGGCGGTGGCGGCGGAGGTGGTGGAGGCGGAGGAGGCGGTGGCGGTGGCTACGGCGGCGGCTTTGGCGGCGGTTACGGCGGTGGCGACGGTGGTTATAGCAACGGTGGCTACGGTGGCCATGGTGGTAGCGGTGGCTACGGCCAAGGTGGACACGGTGGCGGCTGTGGCGGCGGCTGCGGCGGCTATGGCGGCGGCGGTGGCAGTGCGACTGCAACGGCCACCGCCACTGCCACGGCGCACGCTAACTCCCACTCGTGAGTATTACAAGATTGTGTAAATCAACTAAGTACTCTTTACCTCAATATTGCAATAAAACGGCAGACCGTAAATAAGCTATTTGAAGATTAAAATTGAAATATTAAGTCGACGTCGTCTACAAGCGAATTATTAACACGTGATAAACTAAAATGTGTTATTATGATTGGTATTCTGCATTTAATTTAAATTTTCTCTTTTCAGTTATGGAAAACGCAAATAATGCTCGGTATGATCTTCAAACATCTAGAATAAGGATATCTACCGAAGTGAGATTGAATCTTTGCCGTTTAGCATTTGCAGTTTAATGTGTACATGGTGGTTAATAACAATATAACTGTTTTTTATTGTTTCACTTATTATTCCACATTATTTATTTTTACATCAAAATTCTATGCTTTAGAGTAGGCGCACACCTTTGACTTAACTATTGCACAACTGTTGGGCGACTCTTGATTGTCAATTGTTTCGCAGTCCCTTCAACAGTTTAGTTGCACAACTAAAAATCTGCGCACCTCCATATAAGCTCATAGGAATCAAAACGCGACTAAACAGTTGTGCGATAGTTTAATCAAAGGTATGCGCGCACTAAATCTACAATATATAAAAAAATGTATGTAAACATTTTACACTGTAGTTCAAATATTTTTTTTTAACTATTAAATTGTAATAAAACTGCGTCTTAATTTCGAATTAATAGAATTACTAACATAAACAACTTCAAAGTCAGTGCAATAATTATGTTTAGTTAGGTTTATAACATGTGGAAAAATATGTTATAAGGTAAACTTTAAAAGTAAATGTATTTTTGTGCAAGCGTATAGTTTTATTTCGATATACTAAATCTCCTAATAAATCCAAAAACCTTAGTTTTTACCAATTGGACAGTTTCGTACCAATTCACTGGAAATTAATGGAAGGTTTATTTTAAGCAACAATCACGAATAACTTGAACTGGAAGCATGGAAATAGTTTTAATTGATACTCTAAATGTTCCTCTTTAAGGTTTTACATAACACAATTAAATAATATTATGGACAGTATTTGTAGTAAAACGCCTATTTTTTTACCATAGCAAACAATCTAAATAATTTAATAGCTACATTGGCTATTTTTTTTCATCAGTGTAGACATAAAAAAATCGTGTTAAAGTCAGTAATTATATTACTACTCACGAGTGACCCTAACCTGAATAAAGTACAAGTATTTACATTTGAATATTTCAGCGAATCCCTTCCCCTTCCCCACCTTCCCTAACACTATTATATCCACGACTCGAGTCACGACAGCCAATTAAACTAATCGTAGTCAATCAATCATAAATAACGCGGATTAAACCGAAAAAGCTACTCGGTGTTAAGGTTGTAATGACAGATGAATAGGTTTACTATTCATTTGTCATCAAGTTTGAAAAGCACACTTTGTAGTTTAAATTCATTTTTATTATTTAAAATCATACATTTTTACAAGTAGGCTTCCTTTGCTGGGACATTCTTGTAAGTAAAATAATTAAAATTGTGTCAGAATGTCCCAAAGTTTACAAGACAACTTTTATTAACAGTAACATTTAATGTGGTTAGGAAATTTAGCTGCTACGTTAAACATTATTAATACAATCTTACGACAGTGCGTGGAAAAATGTTAATCGAATGATAGATATATAACTTCAAATGGCTACAAATGTTCAAAATTAAGTGTGTCTATCATACTAATACTACAAATGCGAAAGTTTAGACGGATGGATGTTTGTTATAGTCTGTAGCCTAAACGGCTCAACGGATTTCGATGAAATTTGATATAGATGTAGAGAATAGTCTGAAAGAACACTAAGGCTACTCACTTTTGTTATTTTTAATTCCACGCGGACGGAGTTGCGAGCGAAAGCTAGTATGAAATAACGAAGACAAATGTATAAACACGAAGATTCCACGAAACAAAGTGAATAAACATAAGAGATAAACATTATAAATAGACTTGCATCTACAAATCAAACCGGCATTTATGTAGGTAGTATTAAATGTTTATTTCAACCTAAAACATTATAAGCGTTTATCTTGTTTAGCACAACGATAGCACGATGACATTTCACCTTTGCATCAAATTAACCTTCATTTAAATATAGTTGAGATTTATAATTAAATTTAACCTAAATCACTAATAAACAATATTTACTAACTAGCTTTCGCCCAAGACTCCGTCCGCGCGGAATAAACAAAAACAAAAACAAGTAGCCTCCATGTTCCTCCAGACTATTCTCCACATCTATGCCAAATTTCATCGAGATCCCTTAAGCCGTATAGTCTACAAACTCTCAAACATCTATCCATCCATCCATCGAAACTTTCGCATTTATAATATTAGTAAGAAGTAAGATAAACCATAGTCGGTTACTACGAGAAACATTTAACTAAAATTCAGAATAACTAAAAAAAATGATCACACTTACATCACAAAATAGAGTAGTACTATAAATCTCAAAAAAATGTTTTAAACTGGTAAAGATATATCGATTTTATTGCAAACTATTAAAATACTGCTCAGTTAATGGCGCTACAATTTCTGGTTTCAATTTAAGTTTTTTCAAAGCCCCAGTTTCTTTTGTCTGCGTAAATATCACAGATCCACACAGAAAAAGTTGTTCAGTGTCTTGATCATATATTACAAGTTGACGGAAAAATAAACAAAGTGTTTTTAAAGGTTAGTGATTTGAAATTCATATTGTTTCAACATGAAACAATTCTTTGTATTGAATTGCATGCATGTTGTAAAACCAAAGGCGAAATATAATATTGTTAATGCAGAAATGTTGAAAAATGTCTCAGCAGTGTTAAAATCAAGAATATTAAAGCTTGAATTTGCTACTTTCTTTATAACAATGGACTATAGAGTTAGGTCTTTTTTTCGAATTTAACTATGAGAAATATTTTAGCAAAATAATGTAAACATAACTATTTATAAAACGATGTTAATTAAACGGTTTTAAATCTGAATACCGAAACAAATCTTGAACCCTTTACTTCACAAGCGTTTCTTAGAGCAAGCAAGCACCTGAAACTAAACAATCGCACAACTTTTTAGTCTCGCTTTGATTCCTATAAGCTTATATGGAGGTGCGCACACTACTATTTATTTGTGCAACTAAACAGTTGAATTACTGCGAAACAGTCGACGATCGGACAACAGTTGTGCGATAGTTTATTCGAAGATTACATATTCAAATGTCGTTGCAATATTCGACCGCAAGACTGACGACTGTACAGTCGTACAAAAGGAAAATCTACTCCGTTCCAACTTTCTACAGCTTTCAGTTACCCGTTGAATATTTATGATAACGAATTACAAGCTATTTACTTGTCACAACTTACACGTATGAAAACAAGCTTTAAAATAAAATGATACATGTTACATTCGTCATAGAGAGATGAAAGTAGAAATACGACTTGTTAAATCGTTTTACGGGTGTTTTTACCATAACGAGTAATATAATGTTAATAGAAAATGTCAATAAAACTGAAGTAATTAAACCCACATAGGAGCTATTAAGTGAATAAGGATGGAAAAATAATAAAATCGAATCAGTAACAATTAAAAGTGCTTGCTAAGCCATTCTTAAATGTAAATTGAATTTACTCTGTGATTTGAAATTACCGACCGTGTATTTAATTACCTACAAATTTTTGATTTCATAAAGCGCATCATATTGTAATTAAAAAATCGTGATATATTAATATAGCATTGCAATGCAATTTATTACATCTATCATGAACTATTTTTAATAGGATGTATTAAAAAAAACTATTTGTACACTCGTCCTCTCTTGTCTTGTATTAATTTTTAAAAAAGCAGAAAAACAGTGGCCGTCTCTATATTGTTTATGGAACTGTCTGAATTTTTTTAGATTATAAAAATTGCTAATCTAAATATACTGACTTGGATAATGTTTATTGTCTTATTTTTCATGTAGATAATAGATATTTTGTACATATTGTTGTGGAGGAAAGCTGCATCCTACAGGTTGGCGGGTACCGTTCTAGGGCGGCGCGACGCGCCGGCGTTTTTAATCCGGTTCTGTGGTCCGGCGCATCACTCCGCGCCCTGCCGCCGACATCGTAGCCCGTTCATACTTCTCGTCTATTATTAATTTAGTAATAATGTACAAATTGGTACTCATCTGTGCTTTGTGCTTGGTGATTATTGGTAAGTTTTTATAAATTAAAAATACATTTTATAGTTATTACAAATACTTAAATTTACAATTAATTACACGATTTTTATTGAAAATTATTTGTTACTAATAATTGTTTACTTTTTTAATTTTTCTCTTTGATATTTTAAGGTAATTTAATAATGTTATAAATAAACAAATTAAAATATGCCCATACAATGCCTAATTCTTACACATGTCAGTATATTATTATTTGAAATAAATTATAGATATAAATAAAACAATCTTAATAGAATTGACGTATTACCAGAGTCAATTAAAACAATAAGTTTAAAATAAATAATGTGCAAACTTAACAGGTAATGAGAAAACATAGATCAATTTAAGATAGGCTTGTTCCCGCAATGAAAAAATATTTCTAAGATTCATCGACAGATTAAAAAAAATGTTAAATTACAGACTGGAATTGTAAAACTCACAAATAGTAAAATTAATTAAAAATTAAACCTTATAAAATTATGAAGAACCCAAACGCACTTTAAAGGGGTTAAAAGAACTTAATATATAAATATACAAATATTTGCATTTAATGTCGACGAAAGATCAATTTAAATCTTTACTTATTAAATAAAAAACCTTTCTTCAACTAGGAAAATGTACCATGAGCTATCAATTACTATTACAATACAAGACAATACAATTACAATACACGCATTAACAATTAGTCATCAAAATCATACACGTTAATTATCTAGTAAAATTATTGATTACTTTGCATGCTCTGTTTCTAACAAACACGATATGGCATGCTGCATGTAACGAATCGATTTACAAACAGACAAGTTAACATCACGAAAAACGTTCCGTTACTTTGAAATTGAAAACAATTAAAAGTATAACAACACATGAGTGCCCGGATATAGAAGATTGGAAATAACGGCTCACAAGACCGGCACACATCTACGCATAAGTGAGTTTTCACTGCCGTATTAAAGTAAAGTTCGATGTGTTCTGTTTTAAAGATTATGAACCAAACATTCTATCAAGGAAGCAGGAAACCATTGCTCTGCCTCTAAGACTGTATCCTTTTCACAGAGTTGTTAAATGGTCAGTAAGAGAGTCCACACAGTCTATAGTGGCAATTCATCATGGCGATAGTCATAGAAGTAAAGATAGGCGCCCTCTCATCCTTTTCCAAAGTTAAAAGCTACAAACACATCATCCATTTGCCTGTTCTGATTTAAACTAAACAAAATGTTTCTCACCAAATTGCTTTACTGAAATAAAAAAGATCACTATTAAGTAGACATAACAATAGACAAGCGTTTACGAATCCGTAATATTATATTGTGTAGACATTTTGATTTATTAACAGATAACTGTGATTATAAAAACAAAGATATATCATTAAATACAAAAACAAAAAAGAAGCCACGCAAATCGATGCATAAGCAAGCTTATAATTCCGAGTCACGGCGGGTTGGGTCGTGAGCTCCGTGAAGTCGAGATCATGGCTTCTTCGGTTTTTTCTATTGTAAAATAATATTTATTATAATATCAATTAAAGCCTATTCATCGTAAATCGCAAAAAGTTTGAATAGGAGATTAAGTTTTTTACTGTTATGGATGTTTTTGATCGTAAATGTTTTGTAAAATTGATCAATCGAGTTTTTAATGCGAAGTTTTAGTATACTATTAAAATGTGATAAAGCTCAAATTGTTAATATTAGAGCATCTAAGCTTTAAACTCAATGAAGTTGTCGAATTATTAACACGAATGTCGTTTAGAGGAGGCACGGGGGTGAAGCCCCTTGAAACTCCAGAAATATAAAATAGGCATAAAACTAGATATTACGAATAAGACCATATTTAATATTAACAGCCCTCACGCCCCGTCATAGTCTAGGGTCATCTTCTGGCCACACCCGTGGTTATCACCGAAAATCGTTCTTCATCTAACATACAACACACATCTGTTTAAATACATATGCAAGATGTTAATAACAAAATCTTGCTACAGGATACCCAAACAAGCAAATAAAATATCAACCCATTTAAACATGAGTAAAACATTATTTTAATGATATGACGACATATAAAGCCTGCAAAAGGAATTCTTTGAAAATTCGCTCATTAAAATAAGAGACAGCGCCACAGGTAAAATGTGTTCAAAACTCTCCGTAATTCTCATTATGTATGAATATATTAGTTCTGCGAATCTTATACAAGATCTAATATAAAAAAAGGTTTTTCTACCACATTCGTAATCCCGAGGGGTACGCCGAAACCACGGACGTCGCGTAATTTTTATTATATTATTACTTTCAATTGAAAAAAAATAACCTTAGAAATATTTAGTTGAATAATTGACAATTTAATTATTATAGCCCTGACATTTTGCCAAACGCTTTTGCGTACGTTAAATACTATTATGTTGCATAACTTTGAATAATTAAATTGAGTATGTTTTGTTTTTATTAAGAAGTAGGAAGATAATCGAAGATAACCTCTTAAGTTTATCTTCTATGCTTTTTACCGATCATTTGTAAATGCTATTTTTAAAATATTAACAGTTGAGATCACGAATGATTCATAACATCCGCTTTTATATCTTTGTTATTGCAATTTAATTTTAGCAACAATTTTATTTATATCTGACAAATACTACACATCGAAAATACCGAGAACTGATATCATCTTTATTCTAAGAAAGGTTTCGAGACTCGACCAAAAAGAAGCTCTTGACCACGAAGTCGATCTCAAACGACCACTGGCCAGTGATACAAAAAAATAATTGATCTGACTCAGTCTAGATACAATCAACAGGTGGAATGATATCATTTAACCGAATCATTTCCATTGCTGTGAAAGTTAGACGTGAAAGTACAACCGGGTTAAGTTACAGAGCAATGTAAAGGTATCGTGTCGAACGATATACATTGCCCCCCTACCATCGGATGGTAATTGGAATTTTTATAATAATGCAAAAACAAACACGATGAACCCGTTCCGAGGCGAGTTTACACACCACTGGACAGGACAATGACTCTCCCGTTACGGAGACTGTCCGTTAAGGACTCGCATAGACACGGTCCCTGAGTAAGCTTTTACAAAATTGACTCTATCATGACTTTACCACAATCTATTGAGTTTTATAGTATAGTATAGTACTTCCTTAGTTATCAATTACGTATATTTTAAAGCTTAATAAACTTTAAAAGGGACGTAAGCTATGTTACTGTTTCGAATGTAACTAACTGTGTATGTATAAAAATAATTGAAAATTAAACACATATGTGTTAAAAGTTCTACGTGTGTTTTAATTGCATCCGTCTATTATCCTTGATAATCAAAGCAGTCAGTCCTTAACCCTCCCTTTTTTGAAGAAACCTAAACAATAATTATGTAATTGTTCAAGAATAACGCCAGTGGAAACTTACGGTACAATATGTATTCAAATATTTAACACGACTTTGACATCCTTATTTGTTATTGAACTTTGTTATTGCAATATGCAGACACTTCAAACGATAAAGACGCAGAAGCTAGAGATAGTCAATTCTTAACCTCGTCGACCTAATAAATAGTTAACCAAACAGCTCGATACATTTCTATTAATAATATTTTTAGATAATATTGTAGGTTATATGTAAATCTGGAAAACTACTTTTATTCGACATGTTTTTCGACATTTATTTCTTGATATTAAACTTTGACATTTGTATACCATCTTTCGAAATGCATTTTAAGGTTAGTTAGTAGGCATAGTTATTTAAGGATGTTTAAAACAACTTTTTGATCAACAAAAACATCTGCAATCTAAAATAGTAGATAATCATTAATCACAAAACTTTAACCGAGTAAAAAACGTGACAAATGTGATCGATCATCAAAGTATATTGTATGCTATTTCGATTTTATTTTTATGTTGTAAATTACTTTGCAATTGGCCGTAGGTTAATAGCCGTGGGCCATTACAAAAAGCTAATTTGGAACGCATAGAATGTACAAACGGACGTCGATCCATCAAAACCATACTTTCAAGTATCTAAATAACACCGGCATTATATGTTGTTTCTTAAAAATAAACAGTTTTAGGTTAAAAATAATATTTTTATTACAGCCACAAACCAGAGGCTACAGTTAATTTGACGAGCAAAAAATGTTCAAGTCAAAATCAACCGTTAGACACTCTTAATGGACTTCTCGTGGATGTTAATCAAAATATAATTTTCCGTTGACCAAGAGAAACTTGAGTTTTACCGAGACTGTTTATCCAAAAAGGACTCGGGGAGCAGGAACCTGCATTTTCCTTCGACGCCAACTATGATAGCAAAACATTATCGGGAATAGGAAGTATACGCAAATGTTACCTCTACGCGTCCACTTCATGTATATCAATCAGAATTGAGACAAAAAGTTTAAAAGCATTTAAGCGTAACGTATCGTGATTATCTATATTATTTTCGAATAAGGTACGGTAGGCAAAATAAATAAATACAACCTGTCCATTCTTCTCAATCCAGGGATTCTTTTTGTTTTCATTTTCATGAATTTGTCTACCTTTGTCCGTCTATTGCTTTAACATTTTCACCAATAAGGTTGTATATTTCGCACTAGTTATCATTAAGGGAGTTGTGTAGCAGTAAAACTTTAAGAGCGTTTTAAATTTATAGAGCATTGAACTACAAAACGCAATATGAAGTCTTCCAACTCGATAGCTTCTTGTTAGCGTGGTACATAAAGCAACGTGTAAATTGGGCTCTTGCGCAGTACAGTTAGACAAATCTCGCAGCTATGCTGCGCTGAGGTACCGTTAAATTCAAACTCAATTTTATATATGTTACAAAATGTCTTGCTTTTAAATATATTGTTTAATCTTATTACAGTTATATGTAAAATAAGATCCACTTTTGCGAAAATATTAGACGAATTAGTTTTATTTTTTGATGAATATTTTATGAACGTACAAAAAATCTTTTACTACATTGTTTTATTGTTATAATGTATGAAACAGCATATCTTTGAATACTAAGAATCTCTTAAGAATAACATACGCACGTCATTTTCGACTACCGTTTGTAAAAGCTAACAGAAAACCACTTATACTAAGTAAAGCCTGCGTTTAACTAACAAAGAGAAGTCAAATAAACATCTGTTTTCTAAGCCATACTGTAAACCTACACTATTCTTGCAAAGTGAGAGTTTTATTTTAAAGTATTTTAAAACACAAGATAATATAGCTTAATGCATTGTACCAGTGGGCTACCGGATACAGTACAGTAGGGATATCAACTCATTTATATTCACAATATATCGAACATTCGGACTCATATATTATGTTTACGTGCTCTTCTAACTCGGCCTCTGATTGGTAAAACAGAAAGTTCAAAATGAGTACAAACTTTTTAAACTACGTATATCCTATGCTCTCATTTTCTCGAAACAAAATTTTGCAAACAATTTTTCGCAATTAATTGGCCCTCTCGTACGTCAGTAAATGATTAATTTCTCTCTCAGGATTTTATGTCACGATACAAAATTTTTAGACATCTAGATTCTGTTCATGTATTGACAAATCGAAGTAGCAAGTTGAACGACCCTTGCTAACAAGGGATACGTCTACACAAGCAGACGCGTCTATTCTATCCCATTATCTACTAGCAAATTTACGATGCACGTTGCATTAGCGTGCTTGATCCCGTCCGGACATCGGGTCAGGCGATAGTACGCTATTAACCTATGCTAATAGGAAAATTTTATGATCAATTCGATAAACTAACATAATTATACTTAACGCAATGTCATCTATTTGGAATAAACCTATAATATACCTACAAGCTTTCGCCTTTGTGTACTTCCAGACTAACCTCTACATCTATACTAAATATCGAATTACGTTCAGCCGTTTTGACTGCAAACTCTAACAAACTTTTAACAGTGGTAGAGCCCGCTTTAACATCTTAGAAGGCAACGCATCTGCAATTGCGGATGTCTATGGGCAGCGGTCGCTTCGCCATTTTGGCGAATTCAGGTGGCCGCTTGCTCGTTTGCCACCTGATGTTATAAAAAAAACATCCTTTCATCCATCGATCTAAACTTTCGCATGAGTTTTAGAATTTATTCATTTTGTAGAACAAAATGCGTTTGCATAAAAAGAAGCAAACAAGTAACAGATTCTGTAAATCCATTTCCTATATTGACTCGTTAAACCTCGTACGAGACAATTTAAAGTAGTCATTAGAAGCTTTTATGTAAATCGTATTACCGCTAACCGCTAGCGTGGACAGGTTTCTCTAATGTACAGTTGTAGTAAAATGTCATACCCAATGTACATGATTAATCCTTCATTGCAAATTGACTGAATACATAAAATTAAGTCCTAATCGATCATAGGTCTTTCACGACGTTCATTCTCAGTATCGACGTGGTTTCCCATACACGGACCACAATTTACCAAAACTCTTTGAAAAAAATGCTACGGCTATACACCTAAAGAAACTGTTTTTGAAATATATAGAATATTTCAAGCTTTCCGTGTATGGCAACTCTCACACTATTTTATTCGTGTTTAATGAAATTTGAACATAAACTCGGAATTCCGTAAATGCCTTGTCTAACTTTTTTTTTAATGTAATACTTCCAGAGGCGCGTCCGAGATGGCAGTTCTTACCGCCAGTGCCTGGCTACGTGCCCGTCTACATCAGATCTGGAGACACGCCGCTTGAGGAGATCAATCCAGAACTAGCTGAAGCCTTCCACGCGTTACCAGCTGGCAGGAGCGCTGGCAAACTGGTGGATGCAGCACCGGAGATACCTGAAGCAAACCAATCTCAGCCTGACCTGGTATTGGAACCAGAAGAAAACTACGAAAAGAAGTTTCTAGAGAAGAAAAAGAAAGCCACTGAAGTTGTTAAACCTATCGAACGCAGATAGACGTACTTAAATCATTTCTACATACATTTTTTTTAAAACAACAAAGTACACTGTGTTATATTGTTGTAAGAAAAGTTAATTTGATAAAATAATTCGCTATTACAGCACCCTTGACAACACTGTGTATTTCAAACTATTTGAATTACGTAACTTAAAAAAAATACTATTCTGGTGTTAATAACTTAATATTCTAATTAATAACTTAGAATACCTTAAATGGTTTCTTTGAAGTAGCCTTTTAAAAAGAATGCTTGCCATCTGCTTTATGGTTATTTAATTATTTATAGTGACTAGTTTTAGGTAGTTTAGGCAAACACAAACTTGTGAAAACTTTATTTTAATTAAACTTATTAAATAAAAATGTGGTTTTTCTTTCTTGAATATAGTGCTTTCGCTCGCGACTCCGTTCTCGTGGGATTAAAAAAAACAAAAGTGCCTATGTGTTCTTCCAGACTATCCTCTACATCTATACCAAATTTCATCAAAGTCCGTTCAGTCGTTTAGGCTACAAACTCTAACAAACATCCATCCATGCATTAACACTTTCGCATTTATAATATTAGTATAGAGTATAATTAAAGAATAACTTTTGTATTATTAAAAAGGAAAATTAAGTGAGCAATGAGTAAGCAGGTTTAATAAACTAAAGAAATAACAGTAAAAACAAAATAAAACACTGGATAAATAAAAAAAAAAAACATTTATTCAATTTCAATATCTATAACTAAAATAATTACAATTACGTTTTTCTTAAATTTACGATTTATTATCTACTTTGTACAGTAACTTATTTACATTTAACATTGATCACAATAAGCAGGATATCAACACTAGAGGAACTGCAGGGTTTTACAACATTTTTTTTTAATTAACAAGAGAAGTTTCCCTTTAATCTTATGTACAATTAGGGAATCTAGCAATGTTCCACTTTAAAAGATACAGTTTGATCGATTTGATTATATTCGAAACGGAATAAAAAACAAGGACGTAGCTTTTAAATATATCTGTAAAAAATGTTGGTCAATATTAGGATAATTGCTTTTTACTATCCAGTTCGTTAACACATCATTGTTACCTAATTAGTTTGTCATAAGAGACGGAGTTTGTATAAAACAAGGTATTTTTTCTGAAAGTAAACTGCGGATTTCCGAGATTGTACATACACAGTCAGAATTTGGAAATATATTTGTTGAAAAAGGAGGTTGTAAATGTTCAAAGTATCGAACGGTTTTGTATTTTATGATATGATTTTGACATGTTCTGTTTTCATGTCAAAAAGAAGAAAGTATGTGAATATATTGGACAAAATATATCTTTTGTTATAATATCCTGGTTTTCTATGACCTTCTCATAGTCAACATAACATTTATCTCCCAGATTATTGTCCTCAAGTTTGTTATCACCTCCTTTAGCTGTTTATTCTTTGTAACTACCTGGAACAATAACGGATTTAACAAACCAAATTATATAAAAAATTTAATACAAGCATGTTCTAGAACCGGCCCCTTATTATGACGTCATTCGTGACGTACATGTCATAACACGAGGTAGAATGCAATCTCATTTACACTTTATATTATCAGCACATAATTTACAATTACGAGACTTTAAAATATTGTTCAAAACTACTTTTAAACAATGTAAATTACATGATAAATTCACAAACATACCTGTTCAGTTAGTATGTTATTTTCTTCTAAAATTTGTCTGTATGTCTCCGTGTTTCGTCTCTCGTCTAAAGTTTTATTATCAGCTTCATCTTTGAGAGGTATCAGACTTTCCATATGAGTGTACTCCATACCCTGAAAATTTTAAACACATCTGCAGTCACTTTTTAACTTAAAATTAGAATATTTCAAGCATATGTTCCAACCAAAGAATAGGATTATTAATACGTTTCTATTTTCTATATTACAAGCAAATACATCTTTTTCCTTTTATCAATTTAATTCTATTAAAAAAGTGCTAAGAAACTTTCATATATAATAGCGTGGCAAATGCGTTGCCTACCCTTAATAGATAGAGAAGACGCACATAACCTTGCCACTTCCTATGCATCTCCTGCACTGTCAAATTCACTATCCCTTCCCATCCTTTTCCTTATTTGAAATGAGTGGAAATCGAACAGGCCTTAAATTAGGCCCATGGAAGACAAAGTTTAAAAAGATTAAATAGTTTTTTAACTATGATAGATTTTTTTTAGTGCAAGCAAAATATTATAAAAAAAGTTATACCTCTACCTGACAAGTTTCATTACATTTCTCATAAATCAACCTCAGCCGTTTAAATAGCAGTCGTATTGTACGTAGTTGTTCTTGCATTTTCGCTTTCTTGTCGTTGCTGGCGTTTTCTCCGTGCTGAGTGCCGTTCGGAGGCTGGATAGCTTTTAATGTTTGGAATACATCTTGTGTCCTACTAACTATATCTTGGACTGTTTCTTGTCCAAACCTATTTAACAATAACAGTACTATAGCATTTAATAGTATGATAGATTTTGCATAGTTAAGCTAGATTGAGGGACCCCAGGGAGGTATTGGTAATCAACTTTGTATCAGATTTGTTTAGTCATTATTGGTTGTCAAATACAATAAATTTTAGGAAAACCAACTGTGAAGCAGTATTTAAATAATGCAATCTATACTAATATTATAAAGAGGAAAGATTTATGTTTTTGTATGTATTGAAATAACTCAAAAACTACTGGGCTGATTTAAAAAATTCCTTCACCGTTATAAAGGTAATTTATCTGTAACAGAGGCTTTTATATTATTCTTAATTACGCGGACGAAGTCGCGAGCAACAGCCAGTTTGTTATAAATAATACAAATAGGGTGTTTAAAAGACATGTTAAAAATGTGTCCTAAAGTATAAAAATTAAGTAACATTACTTATAATATTATCAAGAAAATAACTATATTATATAAAACTTTATCTGTGGTTTTTACTTGAAAAGGGTTTTGTGTAAAAACCCCACTTACTTGCACAGAGAAGCGGTGTTGAAATCTTTACTCTGCTGCGGGGGAGCAGAGGGTGGTGCAGGGGGTGCTACTGGCACTGGTACGGATTGCATAGCTGTAAATAACAAACATTTGTATCATTCTTTTGGTTTGAACTTTATTGAAAAATCATCAAAAATTTGAAAATGGCTAAGTCACATATGATTTGTGATGGCATCTACTTGATTATAATATGTTGGAGTCAATCTTCTGGATGAGTGTTTATTATGCTTTCTTTGTATCATGCACTGAGGGTCTGGAATTAGTTGGTGCCAACATGACATGGTCATATTGAGCCTTTTTAATTTTTGATCATTTATATCACAAAAAATAGAATTAAGCACATATTATTTGACCTATTGGGATTACTCCCATCCCATATTCATTAGAGTATATTTATATACTCTTCTAACTTTGTCAGCATACAAACATTTTCTATAGAAGTAACTTGATATGTCAGGAACAATCTTACTTTTCTGCTGAGTACACATTACTCGTTTTCACATATTTTATAGTTAACTAATCTTAAACATCTATGACAAACATTATTTAGAAGAAAACTTCTATGTCTTTAAGATGTTTGAAAGATATGTTTACCTTGTTGTTGTACAACTTGCTGTACCATTGCTGCACTGGGTCCCATTCCTCCTCCCACTCCCATACCCTGCAAGTTAAAGTCAATGCAATTAATAAGTGTATTAAATAGGTGGAGCAAGCTTTTGCATGATCATGAAGATACAGACAAGCTTCTATAAACACAGGCTGAAAATAAATTTGTTCTTTTTTATAGTACAAACTGACAAATAAGCAAACAACAACTGGCATTTGCCAACATAATGAAGTAAACAACGCCCATAGACATCCCTATTTGCTAATGCACTTTTAATCAACAGAAAATGGATAACTGACTTCTGTGCTATCCCAACAAGTGTTGAAATGACCAATTAAACATGTCTAATTTTTTTATACTTCCTATGGAAAACCTAAAATTCAATTCACTATTGCAAAAATGAAAATCATTTACTTGTGGTCCCATTGCCATGTTGCTCATTTGGTTTTGCATTGCAGCTCCATATGGTGGTACCATCTGATTGCCCATTCCGACCATACCAGGGTTACCCATTGGACCTGCCATAACACCTGGAATTATTACAAAACATTACTATATTATGAGCATATACTATCAATTATAACTGTTACACTGAGCAATTTCCTCTAAATAAACAAAATTTTATAGGAATGCAAGTTACCAATAGCAATAGTTGATGCACAAATAAATGCTACCTGTTAACTGATTTGGCATTTGTGGAATTTGGCCACCCATTGGTCCACCGCCATATCCTGACCTCATGGCTCCCGGATTACCCTGGAAATTACCAGGGAACTGGTGTCCTTGTCCGGCCATGTTGATGAAATACTATATTCCGAAACGACTTGGATGTATTAACCGGGAAATACAAGTAGCTTGTCAAATAGCCTCTATTTCACGATATACACAATATGTAAAGAAATAAATGTACTTCTTATTTTTTTAATATATGTGGCAATTAACAATATGGTGCTGTTGACAATAATTATGTGAAATTAATAAAAAAGCCTGCATACTAAACAGAAACAGCGGAAATTAAGAAAAACAGAAACAGCAATGTAACTTGACGTATGTCAAATTGATAGTGACAGTGACAGCAGGTAGGGACACCATAGAGCTTACAGATAAGAAAAAACAAAAAGTGAATATGAAAATTATCGTTTTTTTATTTTATTATATTATGTTTAAAGGTATTTCTTATAAGGTTTTTTAAAAAATACAGGGCACAGGTGGTCCACCCTAAAAGTTAAACCAAAACGTTAAGGTTAATAAAATCTTGAGTGCTAACTCCACGTGAGTGGAATAAGTTCTGGGAGATGGTGAAGGATTATTAAAAGAATGCGTTTTCATATTTGAAACACTATTCGGTTAATTGCGTTCGTTTAGAGACATTTCTGACTGTAATAATTTCTTACTTCATATTGTTTTAACTGAACCCCAAAACCGTTACAAAGTTAACTTTAAAAGAATGACAGCAAGTGCGAAGAAAAGTTTAAAAAATTGCGTCACTATAGAAACTTAAAAATGTAAAAATGTTGCTCAATAATTCCTAAAGTTAAATCATCATACAACGCAACCTGAGGGTACTTACGACATAAATATTCTCGTCTCGTCCAACCCCACAGGATTTTAACAAAGCAGTTGCAATGAGGATTGGGGAGGGCGAATAAGTAGCAAAGGGGAGTCGAATTTCCTTGTAGAATGTACTAGAACTGGTATATTGTAGATTACGTTGGCTTCCCTATTCGATATTTGGTAATTCATTTCTATCCTATGAAATTTCGAAAGCTGTATTTTGCAATAAATAAAACGATCTGATTCACTGAAGCTAGTTTGAAATGTTTTATTATTAGCCTATGTATTTAATTCCCATTTAAATTTGATTTAAATTATTTTCCTGCTCATACTTTCGTAATTTTAAAGTTAAATAGTCCAACATTCGTCAATTACGAAAGATAATACACCATTAACAAAAATGTTAATCAAGATTTGTGATACTACTATGCAATAGGCTATTTGATAGTACTGATTCGGTGTTGATTCCGTGCCAAGATTTCTGACGACACAAATTCCTCTGAACGACAAACGTCTTAGTATTTATTAAAATAAACTGTAGCAAACTCTGGTCAGTCTTATACTAGATGGGGTAGGATGAAATAAAAAACGGTGATTTTTTTTACCTTACAAAATTATTTTCCATTTTAGTTAAACCTAAATTAAGTACAATTACAGTATAATTTTAATTTACTCATAACAATTATTAAGTATTTTATTATGAACTTCCATTTATCGAGTACGTAATACATAAATAATTGTGCTTACTGTGAATGAAATGCACTATAAAATGGACTGAACAGTGCACACTGACACTGAAATCGTACACCCGGTTCGATGATATGTGTAGTAATGTATTATATAGTCTTTTATATAAACTATACAATAAGTAGTATATGTAAGGCAAGATGGCCACAACTATGGCTAAAACTATTTAATGTTCCATTTGGTATGCATTAAACATTAAAACCTACTTACAATTATAAAGTTTACTGTGTATATTTCAATATAATATTGGACCGAATCACTACTTAAGACTTAGATGGTGATAAGACGGTCCCCACACACTACACACTTTTAATCGACAGACAATTTAATCGAGACGGCAAGCCAAAATCATGTAAAACAAAATCGGAGTAATGTGCGTACATCATTACATGGTCATACTGATTAAAAGTCCGACTAACCTATCAGCCGGTAAAAAGTCGGTAGTCTACGAGAGCCCTAAGGGAGATTTGATTCGGTCGTTAAATATTTAACAATTTTTTATTACTCTTCCACAATAAATAGTTATCAACATGACGCTTTACAAATATCAACAAAATAAATTACGAATAACAGCAAATTACATTAATACTAACCTTAAGACCTTAGGTTCAGTAATCCCTATAGGTCTAATGCCCTTAACTTGTACTACATGCCGGCCACTCCACGCTCTGATCTGGTAATAGCCTTAGCATTTACAACCTTCATTGCTCGTATTCTTACGAAGTTATATATTTCTTTAAAAAGCAGAAACCATCGAAATGAGGCGTTCGTTATGTTAGTTAATTAGGAACGGCCGGCGGAAGTCTAATTTATTTATCATTAAAATTACATGGACTAGTAATTGAATTAAACTACCTAGTAAGTACCCTATACCGCTTTGGAGAACATAATGTTAGAAGGGCGTTTATTACGAACTAAGTTTACAGCGATAGAAGTACATATATTAATTATAATATTAAATAAGCCCTTTATTGCTCTCCTTACGCTAAACCGTCCTTCCTGGACACATTGAGCAATATGGACATGTAATTACCGACTTAGATAAGCTACATTACATACACATCGCATAACCTCTTCATCCATCTATAACTATGACATCAGTCTTAGTCGACGGACGTGAATTCAATCGCTAAGAAAATAATGACATCTTTTTTATATCTATCTTTATGATATTACATACTACGTTATATTTTAAAAATTCTCATAGCGACTGCATATAAATTTTTCTGAAATCTAAATTTCTTTTAGGTTATAAATTGCGACTTATCAAAGTAAGCTGTGATTTGACAAACTTTAGTATTTAATTCGTCCAGAATTACTGTACAAATTAAATAGATATGAAATACAAGAATACTTCTACTTACATGTTTTTAAGTATAAAAATATTTTTCGTCATATATCGTAAAAAGCACAGATGAAAAAAAAGAAGATATCAGAGATAAAAATCAAGACAATTTGATATAAAATCATCGGACAAAACAAAAACTTAAAAATAAATAATAAAAAAATAGTAAACATGTAACTTGAGTAATGAAGCATTCATTTCAAGTATAATAAAATAAATTAAGTTTTTGGACTTGAATAAAAGGATTTAAAGAATATTTAAGGTGAAAAGACAGTTCTTCAAGTTTTTATTGTCATTTAACAGCTTTCTTTATTTTAATCTCTTCTATTATTTTGAAAATAATGGGTAATATGTACAGATATATTTAATATGTTAGTAAAACTATATGTGATTACAGGAAGGCGTGGCAAGAGCTTTGTTTAACATAGCTAATTATTATCTAGAATAACCTCAATTTAACGTACATATTTCCTATATTAAGTATGTCTACTAGAGTTCGACCCATCACCTTTATCCGTACCTTAAAGAATTATGTATCGAGATGTCTTCAATGTTTTGGTATAAGCTCATAGCTTTGGTCATTTATACTTCTTTTTGGTTTAAACGCGATACGTTAGTGTTAAACGTTTACATAATATTTGGTTGTGTAGCGGTAACATTTTCAATTCCATTTCACAATTTCAATTCACCTTTGGAAATGTCATACTTGAATCTTAGAAGTTTTTTTTAGTTTCATCACAATTTATCAACAGATTGCGGCTACTTGGACGAATACTACACATCAAGTCGAGGTAAGCAGCGTGTCACTTGTCGCAAATGACAGATTGAATAATGCAAGCGGACAGCCGCTAGATTGCGCTCATTATGTGCGACTGTCTACGCTTTTTGCCCACTTAATGCGCAGAGGCTGAAGTTAAACTAAGGCATCGTATTAGTTGAGTAGTAGTGTAGCCACGGAGTCTGTTGAACGCGGTCTCATTGCATCCGCGCCTCCTGCAGCTGCGGCGGGTAGGGTAGAGGTGGCAGGAGGGGCGCCTGCACGCCGCCGCCCGGCAGCGCGTAGTACGGAGACATGTAGCCCGCGCCGCTCGCAGCCGCTGCCGCAGCTGGAAATAATAACATATCACGTTCCTTACGAGATCGTAACAAAGCGAAGCACTTCATCTGTCCGATATATTTAATGACTACTGATTTGATAGTTTGAAAGGCAGATATTGTCTCGTTGATCAGTTGTACAGATCTTCCGGTCCATTATAATTGTTTACTCTTTGACTATAATAAGTTAAGACCACGAGATGCTATGAATTTATGCGATCAATAGCTAAATAATTGACGCGTCTACACTTTACATTCAAGAACACTTTATAGTCTAAATCTAGACTGGCGGCTGCACCTGCGAAACATGACCGTGGCAAGTGTCCAATACAGGTCGAAGAATTTCATTTAATTCCCAAGGGTGATAAAGAACCTAAATCGCGTGTTTGTAATTTTTCTTCTTAAACTAATGTTCAAATCAATGAGCAACCGTCATTCTTCATAAAGTATGTCAAAGCATATGTAACTCATCTGATTGTTTTTATATCTATGAATAGCAGTAGTTGTTGAATCATCCGAGCAGTAGTTTACCTTTTCCCTTCTATAAAACAACAATAGACAATAGCATAAAGAACTTACCTGCAGCTGTTGCGTACGGATCGAAGCCAGCAGCTGCGTACTGCTGCTGGTAAGCTGCAGCGCCCTGAGCCGCAGCCGCCTGGTACTCGTACAGGTGGTTTGCGGCAGCCACGGCAGCGGCGTGCTGCAACGGCGGCAGTTGCACCAGCCCGCCTGCGCTCGCACCCACGCCGCCACCCACCCCGCTCACCGCATACCCCGGCGTGCCGTACACGTACCCCGGGGACAACCTGCCAATCAACCACACTTTTACCAACGGAAACACACAAACTCTAAGCCGTCAACGCCCCTGATAACTTTTCACACTCATTATCTAAACTACGTAGTGTGAAAAATCATCGTTGCAAAATTAAACACATTTTCAATCTGTCATCACACTCTACCTAGCCCCGTTAGCCTTGTGAGGCGCGAGCTTGTCATGTTAGGTTAGTAGACATCGATCAGCCTAGTCCGAGCGAGCCCGACTTTCGCAGTCTGTACTTCGTCCCCGCGGACGGCCGCCACCGTGCGTCACTGCCACCAAAGATTAAAAAAGAAACCTAATAAAAATGTCGGCTGGTAACGTCGTCTTGACCGTAATTCGGTCGAACGTCACGAATCTAGTAGAGATTTACTTGAAATATTCGTTATTATTGCACAAAAATTCAATGTCTTTAAGATTCAATTCAATTTTTAGATGGAAAATATCAATTATGTTTAACTACTAACTGCCAAAAACATATAAACATGTGGTACTTATATCGTTAATCGAATTAGAGCCACTCCTTTTAAGTCAAATGCCAGGATGCTTAGAAAATTCTAAATATACTTATCACGTACGTATGTACGTATATTATATGTGGTCGAAATAGATTCTCAACCTATATTTTAAAATGCTAAACCAGAAAAATGTAAAGCCATTAGTCAGAGTGGGAAGAAATGGAGGAATGACAAGTTTTGTGATTTAGTTTGACCTATTTATACAAAACACTTTACGAGAGAGATTTAAAAACATCTTGTAAAATAGTTATTAAATTATGCATTTTACTATTTGACTATCAAATAGTTTTATATAAAACTTTCTTTAAACATTATCAAAATTTGATCAGGCGTTAGTGGTAATAACGAAAAATGTCATCTTGGCATAATTCCCTTTATAGTGAGACGCGGAGCGGTCAAGTCTCGCGGAGGAGTGCCCTCGAGAACGTGCCGCATCAGCCACATCGGAGAGCACTCGCCCGCGAACTCGTCTTAATTCTAAACATTTTCTCCAGCGTTTGTCTTTTTTCAACTACATAGCGGTCGAGAGGGACGAATAGATTTCTGTTCGAGATTGGCTTTCAACGGATCAGCTCGGCGCAGGCTGTGGGACTGAAGACGCATGCGCGTATCACGCCCGCCCCGCAAACTCCGCCCGGTCACTACGCCCACCTGTGGGCCGCTAGTACTATCACAATGTGCAATACCTACTTCTTAACAGTATTTAAAAAACGACAAATACGGAACTATAAGCCTGGAATGTCTCGTCAAAACTCTCTCGTCTAATACGACATAAAGGGTGTATCAAAGTTATTACAGGAAGATTTGAAGAGATGTCACAAAACACGCGTAAAGAGCATTATAAAACTGGCGAAACATCACACAAGCTGCCACATCTACATAGGTACAATCATAAACTAAGATTCGTTTAATATCACATCTATCATTATTATATTACTGTTAGATGTCTAAAGGTTCCAGATTTTAGTTTTGTATACTTACAATATCGGTTACTTACATGCACACCTATATACGAGGAGAATGCTCGGGGTGACGTCGAAACACCTACATACATAAATTGGGGAAGCCAACCGCCCACATACGCCTACATACTCATTAATTTAGAATTAAAACCTGACAATGATTAATCGAATTTAGCTTTCGCTCGATTGTTTTTTTCATTAGGTTGGAATATCGATGAATAAATAATAGCTGTAGTGGTTCGGCGGCGGAACTGTGGCATTGGGTTATCATCGATCTACTGTTCACGTAACACGCCAGTGGAAGTGATGGAAAAAATCACATTTATTACTGTACGGAAAGTGAAATGACACAATACTAGATCAGAGCACAGTGTCTATATGTTGAAACGAGGCAACAAATAAAGCTACACTTTGTTCTAAAATTCAGGTCACAGAGTAACACCGCGTAACAAAACAGCCCGCAGCCTGAAACGCGCTCGCAAATTAAAATGCTTTAATAGATTTAAAAAGGATATGAAATAAAGCATATTTTTTATCAGTCAGGGTTTTCATACTGTATGCAGAATTTGCCATAAGATATTCTATTCAAAATGTGAAGTTTCGCGCGCAACAAGCTTAAAAGGTAAGTTTGGTTACGCGCTTAAAACTTAGTAAGTGTATTAAACGAAATCCACCACCAACAAAAAATCATTTCAAATCAACAAAAATCTTACACGAACACGGCATATAAAACATAAATAAAATATAAGTAAGAAAACATCGAGTGTTGGTAACGATGCGCATCTCGTACGGGCTGGGCGGCGCCCGCGGGTGACTGCGCCGGCGCCGGCGCCGCCCATGCCCCGTATAGCTTTATAAAACGTAAACATTAAAAACCCAATCGACTAATTCACACCCAAAACGAAAAAAATCCACTCTCACGCTCACGCTTGCCATAGATACCTATGTGAAAATGTTTGTTATATAGATAAGGTGAGACGTCCGCCGGGTGTCGCGCCGCCGGCCGTGCGCAGGCGCCGCCCGCCTCATCTACCGAGACAAAACTCAGCTCAGCACCTCCACTCAGGCTCGGCTCGAGCACCTACCCCTCAGGGCTCACTTACCGCCGCTGCACACTTTACCCAACGCGGTAAGTCGTGCACCTCACATCAAAAGAGCTCTAGCTTCGTGACAAAACTACTAATAGTGTGTTCGGAAAGGTTTGTAAGAGTATAATTGGGCACATTGTTGCCCTATAGTATCATTAAAAATAATTGCAGGTCTGATTTTTGTCTCGTGAGATGTGTAAGCAACGGCAGGAAGCCGCTGTGCTGGCAAATTCGTAAGTGTATGTACCATTGAACATTGAATCGCATGTGTGGAAGTGGAAACGGGGGTCTACTCACCCATACGGCGACTGTAGCACGGTGGGGTAGCCGGCGCGCACGCCTGCCGCAGCGGCCGCTGCCAGCCCAAAGCCTGCGACAAACAAACCAACATATCAACAACGGTAATGAGGTGACAACGGAAATAACATCGAGATACCAAGAAAAAACTATCACTCGTCGTCCGCGCTAGATGCGTCTATTTTCGCTCTCACTTAACGGAAGCGACCAGAGTCTTGTCTAAAAGAAATATCACGGCATATTGGACCGCATCCAAATGACACGAGAATCAACTTAGCGCAGGCGACTTTAGAATGTTAATTTCTTTTTATTGCATTGTTAAGCGGCGCGGGGCGGCGGCTATTTCGGTCGCTCGCCGCCCGCCCGGGCCGACGTCCAGGGACATGCCTCTTGACAAGAAGACGACAAACGCTGGCTATAAATGGCTTTGAGACGCTAACACGCCGCGGCGAACGCGAATACTTCGATCTATACCTACGCTTGCTCTTCATCGTAAGCGATGAAAGTTTTTAAATGTCACATAGTCGTACGACTAAAATACAAACGCTACAAGAATATAATTATCAACAGCCTTGGAATTCATGACGTCTGATGTCTTACGCCGAAAAAACGAGTTTGTAATCTAGTAAACTGTATATTTTAACCATACTAAAGTAATGAAACTGTGTTAAATTATTTACATTAAAAACAAGTATCAAATAAAAAACATTGGTTCTAAAATTACTAAGGTTTTGAGGACTCATCTGATCTTTTCATAATCCTTAAATGTCCACCTGATATTGACTGGATACATGAACGTAACATTCAGGATTACAAAAGACGATCAGATTTACAACTCTGTTATCATTAAAACGTGTTGCCATCCGTTTACATTTAATTGAAGGTTAAACATGTAATCAGATATAGATGACATTAGGGAAATGTGCAATTTCAACAATAGACCACAATCAATGGAACATTGATTAACGCTGGCTGGTCAGATGAGCGTGACCTCTTCCGAATTGGGCTCGCACAGCGCACCCGGCGCGGCGGTTGTGTGGTGAAATGCCGGTGATTGCGACAGATGACATCCGGGGCAGCACGGAAGTTTGCGCTTCGGCTACCACGGTAATACACGAGGAAGGCCATCTAGTCAACCGCCGTCACGTTCAGTAATTATTACTTATGATTTGCAATCAAATTTCATAATTATTCATTGGATAACAGCTATCGAGCACTATCTTGCACTTTGTAATACATACTACTTTGTCTTGTCTTTTCTTCAAAACTACTAAAGTAAATCTTTATTATGTTTTTTTTTTTGTTTAAACAGCCGATAATGTTAAATTTGTCGAACGACCACATATTGTCGTGAGGGTGGTATTCAAAACCGAAAAGTACCCAAAGGGTTAGTCGCGTGCAGCAAATGCGCGTGATGCTTCCCCTCAACTCACTGTCCGATCGATGGCCTGCCATTTGACGGCCGAGGTCGAACTGTCCACCATAAAGCTTATCTGATTCATTTAATTTTTCCTCTATATCTATTGTAGTTCGGACCAAATGCGACGTTCTTTTGTTGATGTGACCCAGTTCATTCAATACAAATCGATTGTGGACGTCATTTCAACTGAAGTAACATGAATAATTATTACTTTCATTTTTTACCATACAATGTATTTTTTTTTTCATTTATATTAAAACTAAAGTGATATAGTCCAGGATAAAGCCAGTGTCTCGGTGCATTAAATAAAGTAAATATAGTTTTAATGTCTTTTTTTGCGCAGTTACAGGATAAGTTCTGGACTTGAGGTCGTTGAACTGCTAAGCCGACTCAGGGTGCTTAGCATCGCTTGTAAGGATTCTACGGAAATACGATTTTAGACGCGGCCGGAATGAGCGCGGTGGTATCGTATACTTGTATAACAAATTATCTTTATAAAATTATTGGCTGTAAGCTGTAAATGGCTGTTAACTTGGTCGGTTGTTATTACTTATTATTGTCCTTCAAATACCTACTAATAATTTACTATGAAATCTGATTGCTAAAAGTACCCATCATCATCTCTTTCAAATTATAAGTATCAAATGCTTTCTTAAGCAAAACAGATTAAAAAGTTTAAAAACTACTAAAACGTACTATTTTCCGACGCTTTATTGACATAATGATTTAGTGCGTTCCAGTTGCAACATTTTCGAAATGATATTTTCACGTATTGACGTCTTCAGGAAATACAAAATGAAATTTCAAGACGATCATGTAATCGTTAATCTGTTAACGAGCTAATGTTATAGCACAAATACATCGCGAATACGGCGAAAATTGGTCATTAACGCTTTCAAAAGCAAGCTCGCTTTGTTTCCGACAATGTGGCATCGCGAACGAGAATAGACTGACCAACCAAGTCGTGCCCTAGTTTTGGGGCGTCCACAGCATCTTAATCTTATGATCGACACAATGTTGGTTATGTCTTGCATTTGTTAAAAAAATGGCCCAGAACAAATCGCTATTTGCGCCGGCAATCTCTTTATTTCTGAAGTCATTCAGTTAATACAAATAAGATTGCAGAAATTATTATTTTATCTGAACATCTTTGATGTTATTCATACATGAGCAAGAAATAAAAGATTTTCTTTACCATTATCTTAAGGCGTGAACTGAAATTATTTAGTTTTAAGTGACCTATCTTATGTGAGATAAATTGACGCATGCGCGTTTTAGATATCAAACGGAATATAAAATAGCGGGAAAATATGAGGTTTTGGCGCGAAGCCAGTGTCGGTGTCGCGGTAGGGGCAGAGGCGGCTGCGACGACGTTCCCAAAACTGCGTATATTTAGACAAAATAAAGAGCGCGCCGAAGACAAAACGAGAGTCGAGTCTGTTTTATAAATAACCAAGTCGTTGCCGCTCGGCGGCGGCCGCACGGCCAGCCTCTGCGCGCCAGCTGTTATACATAAATAATAATTAAGACACCAAGAAAACTACGCGACTTCAATTTCCATCTACCATACAAAATCATTTCAAATACTAACTTCTACTAATGTCTAACAGTATCGATTTAACATCAAAGCATATTATTTTCTTTTCTTAGTTAAAAAGAAGAACCTACAGTCAAGAGCCTTTTGATTTGGACAAACTTTGTATCCCTAGTGCGTCGAGTCATTGTGTAGGCACTAGGCAATGTAATCAATGGATTATAAGTTTTTCGCTCTACGACAGTTGATATTTTATAATTAAATTGTTCCCTCAGCTAGGCTGTGATATTGGGAGTCCTTAAATGGCTTCACACGGAAGTGGAGAGGGCTCGAATAACACGGACGTAAGGGGAAAGCAACCGACATAGGCAAGAGGACATTGTATCTACTTCCTGTCTATTACAAATTGTCACTTGTACCACCAAAAACCTCCATTACAAAAGGTACATGTACAAAGAGGTCTGATGGTGTGTTACTATTTAGATTTTTTTTAAAGATTACAGATTCTTGATTATCGATTCAGAAAAGTAACTGCGTTTATTCTCGTTTTTACAATTGTACGCAAAAAAATCGTTAATTGAAAACTACTCAACAATAGTTTCACCTTAACGTTCGTCTGTAACATTTTACTTCCATAGAGACGGGTATAGGTTCCCTTGCATTCTAAAAGTTCAACTTAAGCTATATTAGCACACAGCCACCTTCAATCCGGTGAAGCCGTAAAAGCCTAGCAGTAAATAAAAAATGACGCCTTCGTAATCACTCAACCATTACTTTAACCTTAAAAGTACCAATGTCTTTTGCATTATGCAGGAAAGCATTTCAGTTGTTAAGTTACTTAACTGTGCAAGATGCAAACACATTATACTCAAAGAAATCAAATAAACAAGTTTCTACTTAACACGTTTATTGTTCACGAACTTTTGTCGTCTCGAAAAAAACCTAAACAATATTCGATATATGAATTAAAAATAGTAAGTATACTAATACATTTTAGTAAAGGCGAAGATTTTAGGGCAAACGGTACACATCCGACACGGAAGACGTAGCTCAGTTGGATTGCGTTCAACTCCGGCGTTATTAATGCGCCCCTGTCGTAAATCGATGGACACGTCTTTTTAAAGTACAGTCAACAAATAAGGGCTATAACTTATTAATTAGTAAACAATTATTTTTTCTTATCAAAACTGTTAACATAGACATAAAATCTCCGTAGATCAAAATTATTAGAAATCTATGAAACACAAAATGACGCTTCAAAAATGCAAATTATACGATAACTTTTTACTTCATAATACAAAATGCGTACATATAAATTTTCAGATTGACTACAGTTTAAATTTTTCTGAGCCTCGTCTTCAATTATTGTCTTGAAGGGGAGGTATTTTGAGCGGGTAACGTGATAATAAATGATTTCATTGTTTACGCCTGTCCGTTCTGAAATGATATGATGTTGCGTACCGTACGTACAGAACCGTATTCGTTCTCGGTAAACCCGTCACTGTTTACGTCCGACGGAAAACATACGTTATTTCTTAAACCGTTGTTCCGCTCAAAGTAAAACATGCAAATAAAAAATCAGAATATTTATTCTAAACATCAGAACTGTACCAGAACAATAGGGCAACAATGCAAATTAATATTTATCACTATTCAGAAAAGAAACAGTCTTCTTTAACCTGTTGGAATTAATCAGTGTTTTAATAATCCATGCTTTAAGGTTTCAAAATAAACTTATGTTATGAGCAATCATCGTCCTTTCACCTTATCCTACTCCCGTAGGGTCGGCGCAACAGGTTATGATAGAAGCAATATCAAGGAAAATCAAGCAATATCTATCTAATAGTGACATGTTACTACATACCTAAAATGAATGGATTTACGCCTTAAAATTCAGAATTACCAATCGAAATATTTATGGAACTGATATCTTACGCGGTACTTATATTTTAATCTATTCCCTACATCTCCAATAAGTCTTATTTCCGCGTCTATTACTTATTAATTATGAAACATATTTCACTTCTAGGATACAGTAGAGCAGTAATTTAAGTGAATTAGTTAGTTCCGTCTAAATCACAATCGCAATGACAATGGCAGTACATCGTAAGCGATGTAA